AGTGTGGCTTTAATCTCCATGAGGTAGGATAGTTCCTTGCCTTCTTTTTATGATTTATTTCTAGTTTGATGCCTTCGTGGTCAGAAAAGATGGTTGGTATGATTTCAATCTTGGTGTATCTGTTGATGTTTGTCTTGTGCCCCAGTATGTGATCGATCCTGGAGAATGATCCATGTGCGCTTGAGAAAAATGTGTACTCCGTTTTTTTTGGGTTTAGTGTTCTATAGATGTCTGTTAAGCCCAAATGCTCTAGGTCCTTATTTAGAGCTTTAGTTTCTTTACTTATTTTTTGTCTTGTTGATCTATCCATTGTTGATAGTGGTGTGTTGAAGTCTCCCACTACATATGTGTTTTCTCTGATGTCTGTTTTCAGAGAGGACAACAGTTGTCTGATATATTTTGGTGCTCTTTCGTTTGGTGAGTATATGTTAATGAGTGTTATTTCTTCTTGAAGTATTGTCCCCTTAATCATAATGTAGTGACCATTGGGGTCTCTTTTTATTTTTTTGAGTTTGAAGTCTGTTTTATCTGATATAAGTATAGCTGTTCCTGCTTTCTTTTTTGGCCCATTTGCTTGTAGGATTGTTTTCCATCCTTTGACTTTGAGCCTATTTTTATCTTTTGTAGCTAAATGTGTTTCCTGGAGACAGCAAAAGGTTGGGTTTTGTTTCTTAATCCAGGCTGCAACTCTGTGTCTTTTTATTGAAGAGTTTAGTCCATTTACATTTAGAGTTAATATTGATATGTTAGCATCTGTATTTGCCATTATGTTTGTCTTTCCTTTGATTTTATTTATTTATTCTTTTAATAACTTTTTTTTTTTTTTGGTCTTCTTTCGTTGTTATTCGTCCCTCTGAGGTTCTGGCTTTAGGATTCCTTGTAGTATTTTTTGGAGTGGGGGTTTAGTCGCAATGAAATTCCGGAGTTTCTCTTTGTCTGGGAAGGTCCATATTCTTTCTTCATGGAGGAAAGAGAGCTTTGCGGGATAGAGTATTCTTGGTTGGCATCTGTTTTCTTGGAGTCTGTTGACTATGTCCCTCCACTCTCTCCTTGCCCGTAGTGTTTCTTCAGAGAAGTCTGATGTCAGCCTGATTGGTTTTCCTTTGAATGTTATCTGTTTCTTCCCTCTTGTCAGCTTCATTATTTTTTCCTTGTCCTGGATTCTTGGGAGCTTTACTATTATGTGTCTTGCTGTGTTTTTCCTTTCGTCGTGGAAGTTTGGTGTTCTTCTTGCTTCTTGTATATCAATTTTCAGCTCCTTCTTCTCATTTGGGAAGTTCTCTTCAATTATATCCATGAATATTTTCTCTGTTCCTACATCTCTCTCCTCTCCTTCTGGAATTCCTATAACTCTTATATTTCCTTTCTCATGGAGTCAGATAGTTCCCGAAGTCTTTCTTCATTCTTTTTCCTTCGTACTTCTCTTTCCTTTCTGTTTTGGTTCTTTTTATTTCTGTGTCTTCAAGATTACTTATTCGTTCTTCCATTTCATCTATTCTGCTTTCATTGCTTTTCCCAGAGTTCTTTAGTTCCTCCATTAATTCTTTGATCTCCTGCATTTCTCTTACTTCCCTCTTTAGGGACTCAATTTCCTTCTTCTGATCTATCACTTTTTTAATCATGGCAATTTTAAATTCTCTTTCTGGAAGGCTCAGAAGTTCTTCCAAGTTGCTGTCGTTGCAATCTGGGGAGTGGTTTTCTTTTTGTGGTGTGCTTCTTTCCTGAGGAGTTTTTAGGTTGCGTGTGGTTCTTCTACTCCCTACTGTCTGTTTTCTAATTTGTCGTATGCGTTGGGACACTGTGTTGCTCGGACTGACTGACATCTTGGGTGAACTTCTCCGCTCCCCTCTGGCTCTTCCAGGAGCCATCTCTGTCTTCTGGGGGAGCTTTCTGCTGGATTTAGGCAGTTTTTACTGAAGAAATGTCCCTGTTCTCAAATGGCGAAGCGGGATGCAGTCCCTGCGCCTCCGGTTTCAGGCACACTCTTCTGCGCACCCGGTCTGCCCCGGACGTGGGTGCCTGCTCCCTCTGTGGGCTCAGACTGCTGGTCGGAAGGGGCCTGGCGTGGAATAACTTCCCGGCTGGCCACTGGGTCCTCCAGAAACCTGCCCTTTTCAAGCAGTCTTAAGAAATGTCCTGTTTTATAGGGTGTTAGTGACTTTTTTTTTTCCTGGTCGCTAGGTGGCGCCAGAGATCTCTCTTATTGTCCTTGGGGGGCTGTTTTTCGCCTCCCCCCACCCCGTGGGACAGAGAACAGAGCAGGAATGGTAGGGTACACCTCAACAGCTTTGGGGTGCTGTGTCTGCCTTGTGCCCCACCGTCGTGGAGAAACCACGCCCCGAATTTTCGTGCCCCGGGTCTCAGTTCAAAGCCCTCAGTTCCAGGACGCGGGCTGTAGCCCAGTTCAGTGGCGCGGGAATGGCGCCTTTTGCACCGCTCCCGTGCCTGGGCGCCTGGTTCCTGCTCACTCAGGGAGGGACCTTCACCTCAGTGAGGACCTCCGCGCGTCTCCCCGCAAGCCTAGGTCGTCTCCCCGCAAGCCTAGGTCGCAGGCGCGGGGACCTGGGCAGCCGCGATCCCGGTCTGCACTTGCTTTTCAAGCGCGCCGAGAGCGCCGCGTTTCCGCGCAGGCTTACCGGCAGCCCGGGCTGTGTGCGCGTCTCCCGGGGTCTTTGTTCTTCTCTAATGGCGCCCGGAGCCGTTCGCTCACCGCCGCGGTGGATCCTGCAGGGTTCGCCTCAGCTCCCGTTCACGGGGTGTGGTGGCTGCAATAGTTCCTTTCCACTCACAGTCCCGCTTGCTGCGTCGTTTGTTCTTGTGGGTCGTTTTGGTTTGTTGTTTCCTCCTCTCTGCCGGTCGGAGAGTGCCGCCTCTGTGGGCGGGGGAGGGGAGCAGGGTTCTGCGCTTCCCTCCCTTCTAGTCCTCTTTTATGGCCAGTTTCTTCTTCGGGCAGTTCGCTGGCGTCACCTGTTTATCTTCCGTGTCCCAGTTCTCACTGGGACCTGCCGCTTTTCCTCCCTATTCTTTTTTTTAATGGGAGATCTTACTCGCAGCGTCTCCTCACCGCCATGTTGCTCCGCCCCCCTCCTGTATCTATGTTCATGAGATCTGTGGTTTTCTTATGATGGCTTTGATTTTGGTATTAAAGTTATGTTAACCTCATAGAATGAGTTAAAGTGGTACTTTTTATGCTTGTTTTACCACAAGGAAAGAAAAGGAAATGTTACTATGTAGCAAGATAGAGATGGAGAGATAATTATACTTGCATAATGTACTTCTGTATGGCTTAGTTGAGTTATGTATGTGATATTCTTATAACTTTAAAATAATTTAAAAATTAAAGCAAAAAAATCCTTATATTGTATCACAAATTCAACCACAGCTGACTGGACCAGCTTCAAAAGTAGAAACTCATTGATCAACCATCTGGTAGAGTGCTTGCATACAATAAGGCCAACTCAGTGCTGCATCCTTGTTTGAGTTGGGAGTTAAAATGAGCAAAGGCAAAGTGTAGAACTTTTTGTGCTCTGGGGACCTCAGAGAATGAGTCTGTTGTATCTAAATTATTTTAAATTTAAAAAGGAATATTTTGATGCAGAATTTGAGGACCTGAGTTTCTTACCTGGGGAAGGTGCAAGCACTCATGGTCATGTGTGACAAGATCAAGACAGTAAAAGAGCTGAGTTGGGGAAAGGTGATCAGTCTCTTTTTGGCATGACAAATTTTAGATTTCTTTTTTTTTTAAAGATTTATTTATTTATGCATATAAGAACTGGGGTATAGGCCAGAGGTGTAGGAGTGAGAGGATTCACCAGAGACAGAGTGGGGAACAGAACAGGCAGACTGACGAAATACACTGCTGAGGGGAGCAGCGGGTGAGACAGGAGAGATCTGCTGCACCATGTGGGTAGCTCCCTGGCTGGCTGGGGATTGAATTCGTGCTGCAGTGGCTGCAGACAGCTTCATAGGTTGTGTCTTAACCTCTTGTGCCATCTGGGAGGCCCTCAAATTTGAGGTTTCTATTGAATATCCATCTGGAGATGGTCAATAAGCAATGTAGGAAGAGGTGAGTAGAGGGTTTAGTGCATGTGTAGAGTCTCAACTTCACAAAATATGGACAGTAGGAGGAATCTGCAATATGGAACAATGGCAAAGGAGGGCCAAGGGTGGTGTTCTGTGGATTAGCAGTCATTCATGGGCTGGGGAGAAAGGGAAGCCAGGGGCGGAAGAGAGTGAAAGGGTCTTGATAACAAGGAAAAGAAAGTCACTAAAAAGAGGGGCCACTTGCAAGTTGCATCCTACATAGACATAAGGGACAGTAGGAACTGGGAAGGGACCTCAGATTTGGTCAGGAATAGGGCCTTGTTGGCCTTGACCTGAGCTTCCAGGGAGAGTGGGGGACCTTCTCCATGTCTCAGCTCATGAAACAGTGTCTGGTAGGTGGGTGCTTGGAAGCCATTGTTGGATGGATCGATAGATGGATGGACAGATGAAGAGAAAAACAATGGTCTGAGAAATTGGAAAAGACTTGATGAAAGAGATGGGTCTAAGTTGTATCTCAAAGGGTAGAGACACAGGAGGAGGGGCTGTCTGTGGGCTTAGGGAGGAAATCTGCCTGGCTAGATCATGGAAAATTGTGGGAAAGAAAAACCCAGAGGTCTTAAAATAACAATCATGAAAAATCAGATCAGTCTGAGCCTGCTCAGTATTCCCTCTGCCACATCACATGAGAGCTTGAGGCCCTCAAGGATTTGCCAGTCACCTACTGTGTACAGAGTTCCCTGTCAGCACAGAGGTTTGGGTAATGTCCAAGACAGCCTTGGAGAGAGGGACAGCACTGAGTGACCCCAAGGCATGGGTAGTCCCTGCCTCAGACAGGGGACTGGGCACAGGGACATGTCTCGGACATGGGCCCAGCTAGGGTTGCCCTACCCTCTGGGGAACTGTACCCTAAACTTTACCCCAGCCTGCTGCAGCTCTGTGCCCATTATACCATGCAGGTTCCTGCTCTGGCTTGGCCCCCAGGGAACAGGTCCGAGGTGCTGGCCCAGTGGGTTTTGGTCTGAACCCCAGTCATCATGGTTTGTCTTCAGCAAGGGGACCCAGCTCACCATCCTAGGTAAGTGATTCTCACCACCTTCTCATCGTGCCTTGCCCCTCTGCTGTTGTGGGAAAGTCACTCTTCTCTCTCTGGGGACTGGTTCCTTCCTGCCCTCCCAGTCTTATTGACCAACCTACTACCTTTCTCCCTGGGGCCTGGGAAGGCAGGATGGTCTTGGGGTAGCCAGCAGGAATGATGCCAACAGCAGGAGAAGCCGCCTTCAGTGTCCCACAGTCAGACACAGTCAGGTCACAGGGCCTGTACTAGGGGTTTGACTAGTAACAGTGTGTGTGTGTGTGTGTGTGTGTGTGTGTGTGTGTTTGTGTGTGTGTGTGTGTGTGTTGGGGGTGGAGGGAGTTCCTCCCCCTCTTCTAGAGCTGATGTCCACACAGAGGTCAGAGTCCTGTTCAGACAGGGGGCACTGGAGTGATCTTGGGAACAATCCTCAAACCTCCTCTCCTGGGGACATGGACCGAATGCCCAGCCATGAGGCTGAGAACAGGACTGCAGCTGTGACTTGGGGATAGAGAGGGCAGCCCAGGTGGTGAGAGAAAAGACGGAGTGTGCTTTGCACTAAGCTGGAGCTCTCATGGTCTCTGCTGGTCTGTGAAGACACAAGAATCAGTGACATGGGTGAGATGGGATGAGATGACCAGAAACCCAGCCCTCCCAGGACAGTGGTCAGGAAGGAGCAAAGAGCAAGTCCCATGGGACAGAAACTCATCTGCCCCTGAAGCTCTGGGGTCCAGGTATCTCACCTGTACAATGGTCGGCCTCCTGCCTTCCTCAAAGGTTGTGTTAGACTCAGAAGATGACAAAGAGGGGTGTGAAGGGGGTGGCGGGCTCAGAGCTACATGACTGCCAGGAAAAATCAGGAGTGAGCAGAGGTACTGGGTTGGCCAGTGGGGGTGTCACTGCAGGAATCAGCCCCAAGACCATATCCAAGGCAAAAGGCCCTATAGTCAGGGTGGTAGGGGTGGGGGAGATAGGCAGAGTCTTCCAGGTGTCCCTGGGCTTTATCCCCTCTCTCAGGAGAGCTGAAGCTATGCAGGGGCAAAGCCAGGTGCCCCAGGGTGGGGGCGGGGAGGCAGCTCCAGACCCCACTGTTGTGTGGCGCTCAGGCTCAGGACCTCCCCACACACCATCAGGATGGTCATGGCAGACTGGGTGAGGGATCCTGGTTCATAGAGGAAGCCCCTGAGGCACCAAAAATGAAGTGAGATGGGGGCCTGATGGCTGGGGCAGAGGGCTTGGGAGATTAGGGTCAAATCCAAACTCAGACTTCAGAGTCGTGGTTACCCATGGGGACTCTGAGGTTTCCCAGGGAAGGCACTTTACAAGGTCACCTGAGAGAGGTGGGGGCTGTCTGCTCTCTAGGGGTTGGAGTAGAAAGAGGATAAGGCAGAACAACCATGGATGCTACAGGGAGGGAGGCTGCCCCAACACTCTGGACTCTCCCCCTGCATGTTACATCACCTCCTCTATCCACATAGGCCAGCCTCACTCCGAACCCTTGGTCACCCTGTTCCCACCCTCCTCTGAAGAGCTCCGAGTCAACAAGGCCACATTGGTGTGTCTGATCAGTGATTTCTACCCCGGTCACTTAACGGTCACCTGGAAGGCAGATGGTACCACCATCACCCAGGGTGTGGAGACCACCCAGCCCTCCCAGCAGAGCGACCACAAGTATGTTGCCAGCAGCTACCTGAGCCTGTCACCCAGCAAGTGGAAATCTCACAGCCAGTTCAGCTGCCAGGTCACACACGACGGGAGCACTGTGGAAAAGACACTGGTCCCTGCACAATGTCCTTATCCTTAGTTCCCTGAGCCTCACCTGCCCATGGGGGCCCAAAGTTGCAGGAGCCCCAGGAGGACTCCCCTCCCACCCCAGTCAACACCATTCTGCTCCCTGTACTATTGAGGGTTTATTAACTCTCAATAAAATATTTTCACTGTTGTTAAGAAATCAGGGTCTCTGCTCTAGTCTTTTTTTTTTTTTCTTTTGCTCATATTTAAGTTCCAATCTCTCCAAGATTCTTCAGGTGGGTGGGGAAATCCTTGGCACCCACTAAGAAAATATCTCAAGGGGAGAGGCTCACAGTCTCCCTGGTAGCATCTTTCAGGAAACTGGACATGAGGGGTCCGATAACTGGGACATCATTGCCTCTGCCCTCTCCTTCCTCTCACTCCTCCCCCAGCGCGAGGTCAGGCCCGCTCCCTGCCACCTCCCCAGTTAGAACCAGTCACAGCTGGAAACCTCCAAATAAGTCTTCTCTGTGTCCAGGTCAAGACCAACTCTACTGGCCCTCAACCTCTGGAATGTCCTGCTCCCACTTTGCACAGCTTAGCTCCTGCCTACTGTCCCTGGCTCCCTGCCACTGTCAAGAGCTGGACAACTCACAGGATCCAGGACACTGTTAGCATTGGTTTCATGGGCTCTTAAACCAGCAACCACCTTGATTCCTCACCTGACAGTGGGTTCAGAGATGTAAGAACAGGAGGTAGATAGGAAGGAAACTGTCACACAGAAGCTCTGACGGGAGACATAGACATTTGCCAAAGATAAGCTGTGAGCTCCCCAGGAACCAATGCAAGAAGGGAAATAGGTACTTCCTAAAATTAAAGGAAGCCTTTGCTGAAGGCAAATTGGTGTCTGAACACTGAGGCCAAACATATTGAACCACAGTTGAAAGTGGGAATGTGTTTTCCCCAAGGCTTCCACACTGACGGGAACTGGGCTCTGACCCACAAACAGGTGACCACTGGGCAGTCTCAGGATGTAATGATGACCATGAGTTGCCCCTGTTTGCGGAGCCCTTCACATTACTGTCTCTATTACGCCAAGTCACCATCCCTGTGTCACTGGAGGGGGAGCCTATTTGGGCATATGTCCATGACGGGAGGGATAATTTTAGGAATTTGTTATTATTTTGAAATCCTTTCTTCTCTCTCTCTGCACACCAGTTAAATGTATCTTAACACACCCTAAGAGTCTTCTTTCTTTGCCTTTGTGCATGGAAATGGCCAAACATTTTTAGAACATGTACTCCTTAACAGTTTGGGTACCTGGATTCCCTTTGGTTACACAAAATAAGGCTAAGAGCTGCCAGCCTCAGTGGAGACCACACACAGATGGTCAGCAAGGGGTCCCAGGGGCTGAGAGGAGCTTCTGGGTGTGAGTACCCAGCCTAGCCATTATAGTCCTGAGTGTGACCCGGTAGCCCTTTCCCACTAGTGACAGTGACGCTGGATCCCCATGGCGCAAGCCGCAGGGGTTGACCAGCTTTCCCCTGCCTGAGTGGCTGAGCATGCCAGCTTTGTTGGGGCTGAGGAACACCGCCCCTGTGCCAGGCCAGGTTTGAGTGCCAGAGGCCCTGGGGCTCCAGTGGTGTCAACTTGAGTAGCAGCGGCGGTCATTTCCCCACCTACTGCCCCCCAGTACGATGGCCCTGTTGGGGCGCTGGTGGCTGGCCCCAGAATGCACTGTCTGTGGGCAGTAGCCAGGCTGCTCTGAAAGAGGCTGGCAGAGGTGACAGCAGTGGTGTTCCCCCTACCACTGCCTCAGGGCATACAGACCCACCAGCTTTCCAGGTGCCAGAGCAAACTAGCCCTGGGTCTCCCACAGTAGAGGCCTATGGAGTGCTGGGACAACATGGTGGGGTCCCAGAGGATCCCACCCTGCAGCAGCCCTGGGACCTCCCCACCATGTTGTTACACCCAGCCCCACTGAGTGCAGTTTCTGGCCCCCACTGAGCCTGGCACCTGCTGTGGCTCCCAGGAGCCCACTAACCCAGAACCTGGCCTTACCTCAATGCAGCTCAGGTCTGGGAAGGGGGGGTTTTCCCTTTTGTATCTGGTGCTGGGATAGTAAATGGACCAATCAAGTTCAAGCTCTCCAGTTGTCAGTCAAGGGCTTGTGCCCATTATGCTGATTGAAAATTCAGTAAACTGATTGGTGCTTACAATAGTGTATGTGATTTACGGGTATACGTTTACACCTCTTCTGCTGTATATTACTGCACCACACCCAACACCAAAGCACCCATAATCTATATTTTTTAGAGCAGTTTTAGGTTCACAGCAAAACTGAGCAGAAGGTACAGAGATTTCCCATAAACCCCTGGCTCCACATGTGCATATTAATATAAACTTCCCCCACTCAAGTGGTGTATTTTTTACAATTGATGACACATCATTATTACCCAGCATTAGCGCACATTCTGTGGGTCTGGACAAATTATATGCATTTATCATTATGCTATCATATAGAATATTTTCACTGCTCTAAAGATCTTCTCTACTCTATCTATTCACCAGTTTGTCATCTTCATCTCTTGATTTGTTGATTTTTCTACAAGGGTTTTTTCCATTCAGTGGAAAAAAAGAGTTTCATCAACAAATGGTACTGGGACAAATGAATATCCACAAAAAAGATGTTGAACCTCCATTTCACACCACATATAAAAGTAACACAAAATGAATCAAAGAGCTAAATTTAAGAACTAAAACTATAAAATTCTTTAAAAATATAAAGTAAATCTTCATAATCTTGGATTTAACAGTGGATTCTTAGAATTGATACCAAAAGCACAGGCAAGAAAAGAAAAAAAATAGATTTGAAAATTTCATGCATCGAAAGATACTATCAAAAAAAAAAGATAGAAAATCTACACAATAGGAGAAAATATTTGCCAATCATATATTTAATATGGATCTAGTATCCCGAATACACAAGGAAATCTTGCAATGCAGCTTCAAAAAGATAAACAACTCAATTTAAAAATGATCAAAGGTCTTGCACGGACATTTCTGCAAAAGAGATATATATGCACATGAAGTGCATGAAAAGATTCTCAATGTCATTACTAATTATGGAAATGCAAATCCATGAGGAGATACCACTGCATATGCAATAAGATGACTATAGTTTTCAAAAATAGAAACTACCAAGTGTTGGTGAAGATGTGAAGGAACTGGGACTTTCGCACATTGCGGGGGTATACGAAATGGTACTGCTGCTGTGGAAAACAGTTAACCGGTTTCTCAAAAAGTTTAACACAGAGGGCCTCCCTGGTGGTTCAAGGGGTTAAGACGCAACCTATGAAGCTCTCCGCAGCCTCCGCAGTGCGGGTTCGATTCTCGGCCAGCCAGGGAGCAACCCACATGGCGAGGCAGACCTCTTTTGTCTCACCTGCTGCTCCCCTCAGCAGTGTGCTTTGGTCGATCTGCCTGTTCTGTTCCCCAATCTGTCTCTGGTGGGTCCTCTCACCCTCTGGCTTGTACCCCCAGTTCTTGTATGCATAAATAAATTTTTAAAAAAGAAAAAAAGTTTAACGCATTATTAACATATGGCCCAACACTTCCACTGTTAGGCATATACCCTGAAGAACTGAAAACAGTCATTCAAAGACTATTTAGACTATTTACCTGCGTTCATAGCAACATTGCTCACAATGGCCAAGAGGTGGAAAGAACCTAAAAGTCTATCCACTAATGAAAGGAAAACCAAATGTGCTACATACATACAAAGGGATTTTATTTGACCATGGAAAGGAATGAGGTACTGATATACGATAGTGAACTGTAAAAACTTTATGCTACACAAATAAAGTCAGGTCACGTGTTGCATGTTTCCATTTATATGAAATGTATAGAAGATTGGTAAATCCATAGACAGAAAAGCAGAATTAGCAGTTGGCAGGGCCTAGAAGGAGCAAGGATGGGGGCTGACAGCTCAATGGTTATAGGGTGATGAAAAGTATTTTGGAGGCGGGGCCTCCCTTGGTGGCGCAGTCGGTTGAGCACAGCGCTGTGGAGCTGTCCGCAGCCTCTGCAGCGCCGGTTTGATCCTGGCCTGCTGGCTGCAAGGGGCCTACATGGTGCCGCAGACCTCCCTTGTCTCACCTGCTGCTCCCCTCAGCAATGTATTTCGTCAGTCTGCCTGTTCTGCTCCTCACTCTGTCTCTGGTGAATCTTCTCACTCCAGCACCTCTGGCCTGCGCCATAGTTCTCATATAAACAAACAAATAAATAAAATGAATAAACAAATCAATCAATCTTTAAAAAAAAGAAAAATATTTTAGAACTAGACAGAGGTGATTGTATTAAAGTCATGGAATTGCTCACTTTTAAATGGTTAACTTTATGTTGTGTGAATTCTGCTTCAGTTAAAAAAAAAATTACAATCCATTCTCTCCCCAGGGGACCTGCGGTTCTCTAGTTCATGAGCTGTGCTTTAAAAAATACACCAAAACAGGGGCCTCCCTGGTGGCGCAGGACTTAAAGTCTGAGTGCTATCAAGCTATCACCAGCGACTATGGAACAGCATGAGTTAGAACTCCGAGTTCGATCCCCAGCCAGGGAGCTGCCCACATGGCGCAGCAGACCTCTCCTGTCTCGCCCGCTGCTCCCCTCAGCAGTGTATTTCAGTAGCTCTGCCTATTCTGCTCCCTGCTCTGTCTCTGCTGAATCCTCTCACCCCCCACACCTCCGACCTACACCACAGTTCTTGTACGCATTAATAAATAAATCTGTAAAAAAAAAAAACAAAAAAAAAACCTACTTACTCGAAATAATGGGGAAAAAACATAAAAATAGGAGGAAAACATTTCCCCCTGTGAAACCTCACCTAGAAGAGTCACTGCTTATATTTTGATGTAGCTCCTTTTATTTTAATTATAAACTATAACAAAAATAATGTAAAGTTTAAAAAGTAGTATTAAAAGGACTATCATGTACCACCTAAGAATCAAAATACGGTCAGGACCTGGAGAACTCCTGAGGTTTATTATGTTTGCTTTTCCTTATAGCTTCATCTCCTCTGAGTGTGCTCTTAAATCCACTATTTTTCAGCTTCTCCTGTTTTTGAACTTCGTACAGATTGAGTCAAACGGTGGATGCTTTCTTTCTCTCAGCACTGCACCCCCAAGAGCCATCCCTGCTGGTGAGAGCTCCGCATCACTGCTGACACGAAGGAACCACCAGCTCTGGGAGCCTGGCTGTGGCGACATCGGGCCCACCTGCCCCAGGAGCAGAGCCTGGTGTGGGGGTTTCTCCAGGGCCCTGCCATTGTGCAAAGCACCATCTGATTTTGTTTTGTGGGGCTGTGGGGGAGTGTGAGAGGCGCTGTTGGTCCTATAGCTAAGACCCAGGGGGAAATTTGGTTTTGTTAGCCCCAGAAAATAAGCAGGCCCTCAGTTTCTGAGGCCAGACACTCCAATCTGGTCTCCCTGGGGCAACTGCATTCACACAGGGAGAGGTAGGGAGCTCCCTGTCTCAGAATCTGGATGTCAGTTCCATCAGGGGTCCTACTGCCCCAAGAGCCAGAGAAGAGTTGAGCAGGAGCGTCACTGGGGAAACCCAAGGGAGCCTTAGCGATTGGACTCCAACCACTCAGTTTACACAGGAGAAAGCAAGACCCATAGAGACAAAGGGCTTGTCACTGGCACAGTGTGAGCCTAACCCCTGACTCAAGGTCCAGTGTTCTTCCTCCTGCAGCACCTACATGCCCCTCTCTGCTGGGCTCCAGCCCCATGACCTGAGTTTCAGCTTCCTCACTCTGAGCTGAAGGGCCCTCTGGATCTTGAATCAAGGTATAAACCAGAATGCCCCCATTTGGCCCCTGGTCCCAGACTCCTCTATGGTCAATGTGCCCCAATGTGGCTTGGCTCATGCAGGCCCAGCACCCTCCTTCCTTCCTCGTAGCCTGGGAGCTAGAGCGTATTCAAGACTGAGCATCCCAGCCTAGTCTTTCAGCTTCCCGCACTGACCCCTCAGCAGAAATCTTTCAGGGGTAGTACACCCCAAGATAGGGAGCCCTTTGTGGCCTCTCTGGACTTGGGTCTCAGTACAGCCCTGAGGTCTGGTGCCTATCTGTTGTGAACACGAGGGACTCAGATGTAAGAGGAGAAGTCACCTCCTGGTGCCCCTCCTTCCAGGCCTCAGGGATAGAATGACCTCATTTTCATCCCCAGACACAACTCTAACTGGCCAGGGCCAGCCCCCACTCCTGAGTATCTTCCCAGCCCTAGTGGCTTAGGTCCACCCTGGGGAGAGAAGCTTGGCCTTGTCAGGAACTCACGTGGAATGACAGAGTGGCCAAACTGTCAGGAACCCCACTAGACAGTCACCACACACTGTGCCATGGTGTCATCTGCACAGGGATATCACCACCATCACCCAGCTGTCCTCAATGGGCTGCATGGAGTGTCCCAGCTGCATTGATGGTCAACACACCCCTCGTGTTAGTGGCCCTCACACACTCTCACATCCACACATGCACCCAACTCACCTTCACATACATGAATACAACTCACATATGTACACACAGCTCACACTCACACATCCCTACACAAAACTCTCTCACACACATGCCATACACAGGCGCACACACGGCAACCTAAACTGGCTGTGCCCTCTAGTGGCTGCTGTTGTCATTTACCTAAAAGGTCACTACTGTACCAAAGTAATCCCAAGGAAGGTGATCAGAGATCCTGAGATGTAAGTCTGGGAAGCTCATTCTCTCCTTTCAGATAGGAGGATGTGTGACTTGCTCAGGGGCCGGTGCTGGGGCAGAGGAATTCGGGTGTCTTGTACTTCCATGTCCCTCATATACAGGGTTAATGGTCCCCTAAGAGGGAAAAAGGCATCGTGGGGGAGAGGAATTGCCAACCAGAGTCCCAGAGCAAGATTTTCTCCATGCTGCATGTGATGTGTGCCTGAAGGCAAGAGGCCTAGGCTTTATGAAAACAATGTCAAGAACAATGACACAGATGTGATAAACATGCCAACTTGTGGTCAACTAGCTCAGATCTTTTACTAAGAGAAGAAAAGAGCTGGTCATGCCAGCTTCCCCTGTCCAACCCCAACCCCAGTCCCCTACATTCCTCCTTCTCTGACAGAAACCAAGCACCACTCGTTCCACACATACCTACTGATCATTTCCCACAGCTCAGAGGCAGTTTGTCCTGCGGGTCACAGCAGTGGCTTCAGAAACCAAGTCCTAGAGCAAAGTACTAGTGGGTGACAGAGGCCAGCACAAACAACACGTTATGTTATAATGTGTGGTGTGATGAGTTTCTGAGGAAAAGGAAGGGGTTAAGAAGGAGAGGGTAACAACGCTTTGTTCAGATAATGGTGATGAGAGAACCCTCCTGAAAAGCTGGAGGGAACCAGTGGGGAAGTATCTGGGGAGTATTCCTGGCAGAAGAAACAGCAAGTGCAAAGGTCCTGGGGTGGGTTGTGCTTGTGTTCAGGAACAGCAAGAAGGCCACGAGGAACCTGCGCAAAGAAGATGGGGGGAGGGTGACAGAGTGGGAGGGAGCCATGGGGCCTTGGGGCCTTGCAGATCACACTGAAAACCTTGTGTCTTGTTAGAAGTTTTCAAATATACCTGAAAACCACATATTGGACATAACATACTCACATTTTCTATACATACATCTCTGTAACTGGGATCTAACATGCTGGGTGGTTCTGCATGTGAGCAGACAGCACTGTACTGATGGTCCCCAATGGGAGGATATTTGCTCAGCCCTGGGTCTTCTCTCACAAATGTGGCCCAGTGAACACCTGCATATCTCCCATACACAAATAATGCTTCTCGCGGGCACACACCCCAACCTGGCACTGCAGGGACCCAGGGCATCTAGATCAGGTCCAGAGCAGGGGAAATAATTTCCAGTCCAGCAACAGGCTGTAAACCCATCTCCCATGTCCAAGCCCTGCTTTGGATAGTTGATGCTCAGACTTTGTGGTCCCCACCAGTGCATATCTCCTCCCAGCACGGAGAACCCAGCTAAAGCCATGGGCATATACTCAGGTCGCTAAGTCCCACCCCCACCCTCTCTCTGCCCCTGGTGTGACCCTGGATTTCCAAGCCCCATTTCCCAAGGTGTCAGTCTTGGGCACCCCCGCAGTCCTGGTCCTCACTCCTCTGGGTCTGTGTGTACCTGGAGCTTCCAGCAAAAAGAAAGAGACCATTGGTTGCTGAGAAGAGTGAGCTGATGTGGACCCCAGAACTATGGGGATGAGTGGAGAGGTGCCACAGCCCAAGCAGCCCCACTAGGGCTCCTGTCCTCAGAGTCCTTTCCAGGTGGCCCCTGGGACCAGCAAAATTTGGACCAAGACTGTGCCCCTAGTGGGGCCCTTTTAGGTCACCCCTCAGTAGGTGGTGGGGTAGCTCCACTTCTGGAGTTGGGGAAGGAGGGTCCTGGAGCCCAGGAAACCCACACCTCAGTAGGCTGTGGGTCATGGCTTGCCTGGCTCCTGCTCCTTCCTTGGTTCGAGGTTTCTTCCATCTGCAGTAAGGGCCCTTGCTGTCCTGGCTCCAGAGACCCACTGAATGAGAGTGAAGCAGAGTATGAAGCTCCAGCAGGGGTAGGAGGAGTGCAGGGAGTACTTGTGTGTGTGTTGGGGGGGCGGGGCGTGAGCATATGTGAGTGTGACTCTTGGTGGCGATGTTCACACCTCTCTTAGCTGATTCACACACACACAAACACACACGCACAGAGTTGAAGAAAAACCAGAGCCGGGCAGCAGTTAAAATGGTTAAAACGTTTTATTCAGAAACTGTTGCATGAGGCAGCAAGAGTGCTAAGAGTAACATCAGAGGTAAGGGGGTTCAGGTAAAACCAACCTGACAGGATTCCTCTCTAAAGGCAGATCAGTGCGCTCAGACCCCTGAGTGGTGAAGGACGACAGCCTGGTCAGATGCTGAGGTGGGAGGCACCTGACTTAGCAAGGTCCTTGGTAAACTAGATTTTACAAAATAGTCCACGCATGAGCCTAGGAGACCATCCAGGAGCCCGACTAGATTTGGTCAAGCTAAGAATCTTTGTCAACACACACACACACACACACACACACCCTTTGATATCCTTTAACTTTGATACCAAAATATGTTAACCACTATTAACACATCTTGTATTTGATTGTAGGGAAATGGTGGTGGGGAGAGAAATGGCTCTTATAAATGCAGATATATTAATATCAAAATAAGAAATATCCCGTGACTGCTCATGTAGCAGCTGTTTATGGTTTCTGTGGCCTAGTCCGTATTCCCTTTTCTCTCGGCAAGTGCCTCGATATTATTTGCCTGGTGGGGGTCACCCAAATCTTCATTCCCGAGGGTCTGGGCCACAAGCTCTCCTGGCTGAAGGAGGTAAATGGAGTTAACACAAACTGTCATCACAGATGTGTGCATGTTCCACGTGTGCATGAAAAGAATATACTCCGCATTAGAACACATCCTGCTATGTGGAGGAAAAGGAACTCTCCTACACTGCTGGTGGGATTGCAAACACTATGGAAAGTGGTGTAGAGGTTCCTCAAACTACTAAAAATGGAGCTACCATATGACCCAGCTATTCCTCTCCTCTACCCAAAGGACACGAAAACATTAATTCCAAAGAATACCTACACCCTTATGACTATTGCAGCACTATTTACTGGTAAGCTATGGAAACAACCCAAATGCCCAAAAATAGGTGACTGGATCAAGAAGAAGTGGTACATATACACAATGGAATACTATTCAGCAGTCAAAAAAGATAAACTAATGCCATTCACAGCAACATGGATGGAGCTGGAAGGGATTATGCTCAGTGAAACAAGTCAGAAAGAAAAAGAAAAATATCAAATGGTTTCACTTACAGAAGGACTATAGGGGAAAAAATAAGGGATCAGGAGGAAAATAATAACAAAAAATTAAAAAAACAAATTAACAAGCAACTATAAATCAGAGACATTCTGCAAGGGAGGGGGAGGGAGAGAAATCAAAACAGGGGAGGGAAAAGCACCAGGGACTATGGTGATGGTGCACAGGTGGGACTTCCATGGTGACTACACCTGAGAAGAGAAAGCAAACATTGTACAAAAATGAACAATGATGTAAGAAAGTATATAAATTATATATGTAAATAAAACATTCTGCTACATGGATGGCCATTAAGTTGTTTGTTAACTGCCTTATCCAAGCTTCTTAACCTTTCTCATTCATGAGCCACTTTTTCCATGATTACAGAGAAATACATATAAAATCTGGAAACACTCATGCATTGAGGAGGAGGAGGCCCCAATGTTGCTTCCTGGGGCCACATAGCTGGAACTGGATGCCCCCAGCAGATCTGGCTTTAGGCCTGAAAATGGCTAAGGCAAAAGGGAGGAAACGCAGGGTCTCTAACCCTGGGGAGAGGCCAGGGAGGCAACTAGTAGGCCTCCTGAGGGCAGGTAAGAACCAGGAAGAGGCCTGGGGTGCTAGTCCCCCGTCTCTGCCCTGGCTGAGCTCAGAGAGTCCCCTGGTGGCCTCCTCCCCTGTATCTCAGGACTGCACTGGCAGGTGTCCTCCTTTGTCCCCATTAAGTAGTTGGATCTTTCAATCCCTTCTCCACATACTGTGGGGAAAGAGGCTCCTGCCAGTGATTTCACCACTGAAGCCTGAGAACATGAAATGACCAGATCTCAGGCTGTGAATCTTGAAATTGACTCTAAGGTCTGTCCACTTCACACTTCTGTGAACTGGACTTACATCCAAATTCTTGGTTCCATTAAATAGGGTAAGATGAAGATCACCATTGTGAGGATCTGCCTGAGGCCTGGGGCGTCAGGTCAGAAGTTGGTTATGGGAGCTAGTGAAATCATGGTTTTCAGGAGATATGGAAACGTGCCAGATGTTGCATGTGAAAGCCTAACAGTGACATGTGAGACAGCCATCTTACCTTGGTCCCCCTTTCTTTTCATTTTCTACTAACCAAAATACTGTCCTGATCCTAAACTTGACCTTCTTCCCTTGTTCAACTGCATCTAACACCCAGAATATAGTTCAGGCCTCAAGAGGGACTTAGCAGGGAGGCCCGGCCTCAGAATAGCTGACTCTGGAAGAGACCTTCCCTTCTTCGACCCATGCGATATGGATGAAGAGGGGCATCCCAGAGTGATGTCCTTTTCATTGGAAGAAGGCATGTTTGGGAACACAGGAGCTCAGGGTGAGGGAAACATGGAGGCCTTGGTAGGGAAAGTGGCGGTGATATCAGACTAGAAGGTGCCAGAGATCCACCCTTAACACTTAGGTTTTTCTGGAAACCAATGGAGGTGTTTGAGGAATCAGTGATCTCAGGCTGCAGAGTAGAAAGATCACTCTTAGGGGAGAAAGGCAAAGGCAGAAGCCAGGGAGGGGGAGGCTGTGCAGTGGGACAGCAGCAGGCAAGAGTGGTCAGACAAGAGGAGGTGGCATCAACCAATGTTAAAGACTTGGTGGAATCAGCAAATGAGAAGGTAGAGAAGGTGGCGTGTGACTCCGGGCTTGAGATCAGTGAGACTGAAGAAGAGGAGTCAGGAGGAAAGAGAAACATCATTGGTATGAGGGATGGGCAAGAGAAAGTCGCTTATTCACACACCAAATGTTGGTGGAGGGCCCACTCTGCAGCCCAGCAGGGTACATGGAGGCCAAGGAAACCTGCAGAGTCCCTGGCTCAGTGGGTAGAAATGAAGATGAGCAGAGAGAGGCCTGAGGAACTCTGGCATAGGCTGAGAAGAGGAGAAAGAGGCATTAGGGGTTATTCTAAGACCTAGATAAAGCAGCACCAGCTTTCAGGACTCTCTTGCCACCCCTCACTATGTGCCTAGATGAGCTCTTCAATTTTGAGGGTGACTGTGGTCCTGAGAGAAGACCTGTCTTCTCTAGGAGGTGCCATTGCCTTTTCCAAGAGATGAGGAGACATGAGGATTGAGTAAGGAATGCATTACAACTTGGCTGTTTGTGACTCCCTCCCCCACTTCCAGAGCGCCAGGAGCTGGAAGACCTAAGTGAGGGCCAAAGGGGAGAGAGTTGCTCCCAGCTCTCTCTTGGGAGGAACAGCTAGCCTAGCTGTTGGATTGGCAAAGAGAAGGGATTTAATGCTGACCCTTCTCAGGCCTCCCTGGTAGCACAGGTGTTATAAGTCTCAGTGCTACGAAGCTATTGCCAGCCACTGTGGCATGAGTTTGATCCCCAGCCAGGGAGCTGACCCACATGGCGCAGCAGACCTCTCCTGCCTCGCCCGCTGCTCCTCTCAGCAGTGGATTTCAGTAGATCTGCCTGTTCTGCTCCCCACTCTATCTCTGGTGAATCCTCTCACTCCCTGCACCTCTGGCCTACACCCCAGTTCGTGTATGCATAAATAAAAATAAATGTTTAAAAATGATCATAAAAAACAAAGCTGACCCTTCCCAATATGGGGCGATCTTAGAAGCCTTCCATTTGTGCAGGCTCATAGATCTCTGAGCATGGTAACCCAGCAAAGAGAAGGCAGCGTGGAGGGTCCTGTGACTGCAGTGACAGACCAAAGGCAGCCAGGGAATGAAGCAGCAAACACTGGAGGGTACCAGGCCTCCCTGGTAGCACAGGTAATTATCTCAGCGCTACCAAGCTATTGCTAGCCACTGTGGCATGAGTTTGATGATAGACCAAAGGCAGCAGGGAATGAGGCAGCACATTCCCACCAGCAGTCTGACAAGGCAAGTGTTTGGCCTGTGGTGCAGGAAGGATGGTCCATCTCAAGATGTCCCAATTCCACATGCCACAAGCAACCTCTGCCTCGGTTCCCTGGGTTATCATATACTGAAAATGGGGTTCTCTCCCCACTTAGTAAATTAATGCATAGGCACTGTGGCAAATATATCTATTTTGTATGTGATGCTGGCAAATATCCACTCATCCCCCCATAACGTAGTGGCTCTAAGCGAATTGAGAGGATTTCCCTTTCACCTTGGCCTGTGGTGACTAAACCCACTTGCTGGCTGGGAAGTCCTGGGAACTGGCTGGGGCCCCAGCACATCTCACATTGTTTGTCCCCATGGCTGCTGGCAGACCCAAATCACTGCAACTCTGATAGGTCAGCCCATTCCCCACCTGCAACAGCAGCAGCCAGAAACTGACCATCCTCTTGAGCATTTATAGCTGTGACAGGGCTTCCCCCCTCCCACCGCAGGAGGCAGGTAGAGGGTAGTGGGAGAGGGGACCTCTCTGGGACAGAAGATGGGGATAGAGGGTACAAGAACAGGGTCCCCATCTCTCTTCAAATGACTACGTGAGTTCACTCAGGGAGGGTGGGACATATCTGTAAAGTAAATAACAATGTAATGTTCTAAGTTATGGTGGAAAAAACTTTGGGAGTAATTAGAACAAAAAATTAAGGAAACATTTCAAAGTAGTGTAATAATCAGTTCGTCACGCAGGTTTGCATTTCTTACTCCTCTGAGTCCCACAGGGCTGTGAGCTGGCATCATTCATCCACATTACAAGTCAGAGACTCTGGTTTAAAAAGTGGGCTCAGGACAGAGCCTGGCACTGATGGAGACAGCAAGGAAAGATATATCCCATGGTGGACCTCTGGGCTACCCAGAAATGACACTCCACAGGTGGTTAACGATTCATAGAGATGGGGGCGGGAGTGAGCAGGACCTGTTGGGTTAAATGAGTTAATACATATTAAAATATTAAGGTAAAAATAAATTATGCCTTACTTTAAACAATGATAATGGTAGAACTTCTTACATAAAAAGAAAAAGAATTACAAGAACATCAGAGAACAAAATCTAATAATGTGCTGTTTATAAGTTGTATAGTAAAATACACAAATTTAAAAAATAAACTGTTATACTAACTCTCATGCAAATTCACTCAAAAAGGGGGGACTTCAATAATGATATTTGGAAGAGAGAAATGGAACCTAGAAGCATTCAAAGAGGCAAAGAGGGCAGGATAAGGCACAGTTTTTCAGTATGTCATTAATTATAAATGCCCCAAATAGCAAGGTACTACTTATTGATAAATTATACCTTATTTCTCAGAAATGATTTGAGAGAAAAGCAAAATTAATATAGCAATAACATACACAAAAGAGAAACTGAAATTTAAATGAAAGAGAAATACAGAAAGTAAAACACACAAAATAAGACTAAGTTCAGATCAGGAATAGAGTGATCTTAACAACACAGAACACTTCCAAAATGTGAATGCCACAGATTCTATCCTCACTCCATCCAGAACAATTCATTCATGCACATATCCACACAACTTGGTTCAGCCCCTAGGAATCCACAATCTTTACCACCCTTGCATGCTCACAGACTCCGAGGCAGACAATGGGCCCAGTGAACAACTCTGAAGTAAATAAGTTAGAGAAGATATAGATTTGAATAAAATAATTTTAACAATTGAGTTAACAAATAGAATTGACAGAGTAAAAATACATTTCTTAAGAGTAACAAGTGCTTTAGAAAAACTGATAATATATTCAGGCCCAAAGAAATTCTATGGACACGTAGAAATGTTCACACCACAGTACAATAATAGCAATGCTTTAAGCAATTGTCACTTGGAAATACTTTTAAAAAATGACATTTGAGCCCAGAGGGAATTTCCAATACAATAACAACAACAACCAAAAAAATACCACCACATGTCAGATTTACGTCAAACTTTAAGAAGCTATAAGAAAAAAATCATAGACCAAAGTACCTACATTTACAAGATATTAAAAATGATGAGCTACCTCAAATAATTAATCTTAGAAATGTAAGCCAAAAAAAGAAAAAGGAGAATACATAAATTTGACAAAACAATTTGATTAGGAAACAAAATCAAGAGTCTTACAACACTCAAAATCTGCCAGAAGAACAAAATCATAAGACAAAACAAAAACAAACAACTAAATCAAAGATGATTAAAATATTACCAGGAAGATCTCTTTATAACATTACACTCTTTGAAAATCTAAAGAAAAGGATTTTAAAATACATAATACAGAAAGAATCTGAACAGAAGGAACCAGGTTCTGCTCACACTTTGAAAAAAGAAAACTATCTGGTCTAACCACGGTTATGTGAGAATGTCAACCCTTCAGAAAGGGGCTCTTGATCCTCAGAACATAAATCGTGAAAAGGAAGAAGCAGGTTGGAGGTAGGGGTTGAGAAAGCAGAAAGTGCATATTCCAAAATGTGAGAACATAAAATGAGCTGAGAATCTGGCAGTGGAAAAAGCATCTGGGCATCTAGGGTGGCATGAACCCCTTGTGGCTTGTTTGGGGGGGTGGTGGAGGGTACCAGACTGGCTGAAATGAGGTTTCATGAGCATAAAAAGCCCATGAAGATTGGTTTTAAGGAGAGTGGTGACGTGTGCAAAATGATGCTTTAAATAAATCAACTTGGCTGGGGTGTACGTAAGTATTCACAGGGAGACATTAAAGGTAGGAAACAGGCAAATAAGGACAGGACTGAGGTGGAATGGGAGGTGCAGAGGAGGTAGATCCTAGGGGGCTGCTTGCTATAATCCCGGGAGCCACCCAGTCTGACCAATCTGGCTGTCAGTGCTGCAGGTTCTTGGAACCCTGAAGTGCTGGATAAATGTTCCCTATACTCTTATAACAAAGACAGGAGCTGAAGGGAAGAGCAGTGTTCTCACTGTGGGGCTCCCACTGTTCTCTCTCCAGCCCATCAGACCTGTCATTTTAAAATGTCTGGCCCACAAGCCCCACTTACTAAGTAACAATTATGACTTCCCATTTTTATTCAGGAAAAATATACATAACTGCCCAGCTGAGCTGATTAGTTGAAATAACCAGTGTTAACTCAATGAGTCCACGGATCCCAGTCATAAACTTCCGGAAACTTCAAAATAGCAGGGACTGTGTCCTCCCTCTTCTATTAGCTCTGAGGAAAGTCAGTTTGAGAGAGACCCTTTCACACCTCTCCCCTCTGCCCTACCTCCCCCCATCCCTCCGGCCACACAAATGCTTGAAGGCCTGGGACAAACAGCTACCATGTGAAGCAGAACAGACTCAAGCTCTGCAGTTAGGGTGAGCAGGCCTGACATCTAGGAGATGCTGGGGTACAAGGCGTCCAGCACAGGGCTCAGAGCCAGCTCAGTGCTGCAGTACTGCAATCACTTAGGGAGCTATGAAAACACATCACTGTCTGAGCCCCTTTATTAAGCAAACCTCAGGGGAATACCAGTTGGCAGTGGGAAGGAGAGAAGTACAGGAACAAGGACCCAGTTTCCACCTGTGGGAGGCTTGGGATGACACCTGGGAAATATCCATGTGTGGGATAACACATAACAAAGCACCTGCAGCCTAGGGTACAAGCTTGAGAGAGTGACAGAGAGCCCTGCTGTAAGGAGAGGGTCTGCTGCAAGCCGTTATTTCAGAAGTCAGATGGAGACGCCTCTGGCCTGCAGAGAAAGTACTTCCAGATAGGGTAGGGAGATCTCTATCTTCAATCCCCAGTTGCCAGAGCATTTGGTCTCATTGCACCAACTTCTTACAAGTGTGTGGCTAGGTCCCACTATCCCCATCTCACAGGAGGGGTAACAGTCCTGGGACTCCCTCAGGGTCACAGTAGTAGAAAGAGGCAGAAGTAGAACTTGAACCTAGGCCTTATGATTGAATCACCCTGTGTCCTAAACAATTCCCTTCCCAGGAGACACACACACACACACAAACACGAGGGTAGAAAGGCCACCAGAACAAGGTTTTGCTGTGGTTTCAGGGGCCCTGGGTTTTGAGGGGGCTATTCCTGAAGGGCAACAATGCTGAGGCTGAGTCAGAGCTGGGCATCAAATGTTCTCCAATCTATAGGACCAAACCTCTAACCCTTTGTGAAAGAGCCATGTGTCAGAAACCAGCCTCACCCAAACTCACAATTGAGATTAAGAGTGGCCAAGGGTTGGCCATCCTCACCTACCCATAACCCAAGAATTCTCCCAGACTCTCCCTTTGTTCTGTGACTTGTTTAGGTTGTCCCCACCAATGCCCAAGCCAGATAGAAGATCCTGTTTTACTGCTGAGGTATCTGCCGTTGGATTCAGTTTTCTTTAGCTATTTGGACTATGAGCAGTTTCTGTCCCCTAAAATGTGCCAGACTGGTGGCCTGTTAAAAAGTTCATCTAATATGTCACTGATTTAACTCAACTTCCTCCCTCTGCCATTTTTTTCTTCTTCTGGATACTGGGAAAAGCAAGTAGAGGGCAAAACTCACTCTCACAGGTTTGGAAGTCAAATGTGAGAACGAGAAAACCAAAAGTCAGCCCTCTTTTCCAGTGTGCCTCCATTTCAACAGCCTTCCTATCGCTCTGCCCCCCTCTTTTATTCCGTAAATCTGCTGAGCTCAGGGCACCTGGCTCAGGAGTGCTTAGGTTGGCACCTTTCTATTCAGCACTTTTATCAGAGAGGGAGGAAGGGTCATCCGTCAAAGCAGTTGGACATAGGTTCAGGGAAGACTTTCAAGCTTTTGTGAGCTCCTTCTACAGCTTCTCCCCAGCGTGAATTTTCTGATGTCGAATAAGGTGTGAGCTTCCCCTGAAGGACTTGCTGCATTTATTACACACATAGGGTTTCTCTCTAGTGTGAGTTTTATAATGCTCAATAAGGGCCGACCTGTGCCGGAAGGCCTTGCCACACTCATTGCAAGCATAGGGTTTCTTCCCAGTATGGATTCTCTGGTGCTGAATCAGGGCAGAGCTATGGCAGAAGGCCTTCCCACACTGACCACACTCATAGGGCTTCTCCCCGGTGTGTATACGCTGGTGCTCAATGAGTGAAGAGCTCTGGCTGAAGGCTTTCCCACACTTGTGGCATTTGTAGGGTTTCTCACCAGTGTGGGTTTTCCGATGCTCAATGAGGTTGGAGCTCTGGCTGAAGGCCTTCCCACACTCTTCACATTTGTAAGGTTTCTTCCCGGTGTGAATCCTCTGGTGGCGAATGAGGTGAGACCTGTGACAAAAGGCTTTCCCACAGAGGTCACATTCATGAGGTTTCTTCAGGGTGTGGATTTTCCGATGCTGGCTCAGACCTGAACTCTGGTTGAAGGATTTCCCACATTCTTTACACTGATAAGGTTTCTCTCCAGTATGAATTCTCTCATGTTTTCTGAGACTTGAGCTCCGGCTAAAATCTTTCCCACATTCTCTGCACTCATAGGGTCTCTTTCCAGTGTGAGTTTTCTGATGTTGTGTGAGGGCTGAGCTCTGGCGAAAGGCTTTTCCACATTCCTGACATTCATAGGGCTTCTCCCCAGTGTGAATTATCTGATGTCTGAGGAGGTGCGAACTCTGGCTGAAGGCCTTCCCACACTCACAGCACTCATAGGGCTTCTCCCCAGTGTGAATCACCAGGTGTCTGAGAAGGTGGGAGCTCTGGCTAAAGGCCTTCCCACATTCCCGACATGCATAGGGTTTTGCGGGTTGTATAGTTCTATGAAGTTCACTAGGTCTCGAGGTCCCCCCGCCCACTTGCTCACAATCATGTTTATTGGGTTCTTCTCCACCATGGATTATCTGACACATACTAAGGTCTGACTTCTGGAGGAAAGTTTGACCAAATATTTCATCATCCTGGGGTCTGTTTACTGAGGGGATACTCTGATGCTGAACAGAGCTTGAGCACAGGCTGAAGTTCCCCTCATAATCATCATGTTCTTCATCTTGCTCCCCAAGAGGGATCTCTTTGTAGATAACAGCCATTTGCTCTAAACCCCTTTCCTGAAGAAAAGGGTCCCCCAGGTCCTCCTCTGGGAAGAATTCTTGTTGCATCTCCAACCCATTCTCAAATACAAAGGTCTCATCAAGTTTGGTGGCTGGAGGAACTTCCATTGGGAATCTAATATAGCCCCCCAAAACAATTTCTTGAAAGATTTTCTTCTTTGGGACACACTGTTCTCACAATCTGAAAAGAAAAAAAGGATAATGTTAAGTCAGCAAATCAAGCAAGATCCTTCTTCCTGTGCCAGTATCTATGGTGGGCATAACAAAGTAAGCACAAGGACCAATCTTGTCCTTGAGATAACCCCAACTGGGTTAAAGACAAGTGTGATTTACCAGAAACGACTTGCAAGGAAGACAAAGTCAAGTGCCACATGGGGGTGTCTAGACTCTAAAGGTGGGCTAGAAGAGGAAGTAGAATCATTATGAAAAAGGGTAAGACTCCAGTTACTGGAGGATGTTAGAGAAGGGGTTTTGTTGAGAAAGAGCATGTACTTCCCTCCTACACGAGGTTGGTTACACCCCCTCCAGTACGGTGCCTCAGCCAGCACCCTGGAAATCAGCCTAAACCTCTCACCCCTCAAATCCATCCTGTCCATTTCCTTTGGCTTTACTGAAGGCATCTCTGCCTCACTGCCATGAGCTGTCAATGCAGTTCCCTAGAATTATGTCAGTACTGGCCTCCCAACTGGCCCCACATCCAGAATCTGCTCTTCTCTGTAGAAGGAGCTCACAAAAGCATGAAAGCCTTCCCTGGAGAGAACCTATGCCCAACTACTTTGATGGATGACCCTTCCTCCCTCTCTGATAAAAGTGCTGACTGGAAAGGTGCCAACCTTTCAAAAGCACTCCTGAACTTGCACACTGGCAACAGGCTCCTGGCCAGCTACCCTGAGCTCAGCAGATTTACGGAATAAAAGAGGGGGACAGGCAATAGGAAGGCTGTTGAAATGGAGGCACACTGGAAAAGAGGGCTGACTTTTGGTTTTCTCGATCTCACATTTGACTTCCAAACCTGTGAGAGTGAGTTTTGCCCTCTACTAGCTTTTCCTAGTATCCAGAAGAAGAAAAAAATGTCAGAGGGAGGAAGTCTCTACATTGATACCAATATCAAATACCCAAAACACAGGGCTTACCATGTCATTTCCCTTCTAAGGATCTTGCAGCAACCCACCTCTTTACACCTGGCCTGTCTCTTGCATCTCACTTCTATCCACCCCTAACTTCATTTGTACTGCTGTTTCTCCCCATAATGCTCCCTCCCTTTCTCAGATTGAGACTTCCAGACTCAGTCCAAATGTCTCCATTTCTCTGAACCCTCAAGCTCTGACAATCTCAGGTACACTTCCTCATTGACCCATGGCACTCGCCATTTGCCTGTCATGACACTCACTAACCTAGAAGGCAAACCTCAGTTGACAGGACTCTCCCCACCAGTGCTGTGAGCAATTTAAGGCAAATACTTGTGCCTCATTTCAGACTCTCCAACTCTCCACACAATATGACAATCTCTACATGCTTATCTCTTGAATAAATGACTGTGTGGAGGAAAAGTCATTTGTTTTGTGCTAGAATTGACACAACTTTTTTTTTTTTTTTTGCCAGAGAACTCTTTATTCAAATAAATTAAATTGACTGGCTGGAAGATATAAATAAATAAAACAGACAAAAGCAGAACTGTTCCAGTCAAGAGCAATACTTTCATGGGGACAAAGGAGGCTAGAGCACCCCATTAAGCACTCTATCCCACTGAGATGCCCCCTTTTAGTCCTTCAGGATCCCATTCAGCAACTTCTGTGCAAGCTAAACTGCTAGGGTAACACACTAAAGATAACAGCTTGCATTTATTAAGCATCTACTGTGAACAATCATTTCTAGATTTCTTATAAGCACATCTCCTTTAATCCTCACAACTGCATTCAAAGGTACTATTCTTGTAGTGAAGCTTAGAAAGTAATTGACTCAAAAAACAGGGTTTCCCTGGTGGTGTAGGGGTTGAGTCTCAGCATTACCACCATTACTGCCTGAGTTTGATCCCCAGCTAGGGAGTTAAACCACATGGCGCAAGACTGGGAATTAACTCTCCTGTCTTGCCCACTGCTCCCCTTAGCAGTGTATTTCAGTAAATCTGTCTGTTCTGTTCCCCACTGTCTCTGGTGAGTCCTCTCACATACCCCCAACACCTCTGGCCGATACCCCAATTCTTCCATGTGCAAAAAAACCCCACAAAACCTTAAAGCAACTGTCTCAAAAAACCATACTAAATTAACAGTCATGGTGGAACTCTTTTCTATTTGGAATTTTTTAAAGTGTATTTTCTGACAGTAGAAAGGCCATGTGTGATAAAGTTAACACAAAATGAAAGTAGTCTCAAAAATCTGTTGATCCTTTAATTTCTCTTGTCTTCTCCTACTCTTCAGCAACCCATAATCTCTAATCCTTCCATTCTCTCATATGACCTCGTCTAGTCTATCACCTACCATTTGCACCACAGTTCTCCTCCTCTGCTTTCACCCCTTCCAGCTAGCTTATACCTTCCTCTACAGTCTAACCATAGAGGTTGCTTCGCTCTCTAACCCACCTCTAATCTGATCCTCTTGCAACCAGTTGCTAACTCCTAACCTTCTCTGCCAGTTCCTAAAATGTTAAATATTGCCAAGGGAAATCATACCATGATTTATGGCACCAAGACAAACTTCAAGTTTCCAGTTTCAGCTGGGACTTCAGCATGCAGCTCCAGCATCCAACAACCTTTGTATTGCCAATCCCTCTCTTCCCAGTTCTAATGCTCCCACCCCTTCTGGCATTGCTCACAAATACCTCCTTCTCAAAACCCTTCATTTCGGTGGTTACAAATTAGCAGCCTAGAGATCCTGCCTTAGATACATTTTGTTTGGCTCATTAAAAGTTGGGATTTTCCTAAGACTAATTAATACAAAGTAAAAATCAAAATCAACAAGCAACTATAGCCTAGAGACATGGGGGGGGGGGACTGGGAGAGGAAAGATTAGGGTCAAAATAAGGGGGGGGTGCAATTGTATGGGGAATATAACCAAAATGAAAATGTATACGTTGTGCAAAAATGAAAAATGATGTAAAAATTATATAAAATAAAATAAAATTAAAAAGTTGGGATTTTCCTTTTTGTTTGACTTCACTGGTAATATTGAAAGCTCAGGAGGTTTCTGGCTCTCTCCTGAAAAACTGAAAGATGTAACAGCAGGGGCCCACCCCTATACGAAACCCACCTTGCCTACCTGGACACCTCATGGCTTTAGCTTGCTGGCCAACCCACCCTCACTCCTGCCCTCACATCCTGCTTCATTTACTCGGTTTCTGAAAGTTCCCTCCATTCTCATGCCTTCTATCCCTCTTTCTTGGTACCTGTGGATTGTAACTCTTTCTCCACCACCTCTTATATCTTGGTGTTTTCAAGCTTCCTCCTTAGGGGTTTTTCATTCCCACTCTATCACCTACACACTGAAGCCTGCATTCTGTCTTAAAACCGAGCAGTCCTTTAAATGTCCCCAATGTTTTAAACATTTTGGACCAAAAATTCAAAAGTCTGAGTGAGACCCCATGCTTCCCACCTCTGTCGGGGTCGTCCCCGGCTGCTCTTTGCATCCGTAATTTCACGACGGGGAGTCGCCAGGGCCTGGGTATCGGTCACACCTTCACTCTCCACAGGGTTTGTGTGGCTGAAGGCCCGCGAGCGGCCGCGGACCCTCCCACGCCGCCCAGGCTGCAACGCCTGCGCCCCTACGTGCTTCCCACGGATGGGAGGCTGCCGTAACCCGGGCCACTAGAGAAGCATGTGGCCACACCGGCTGACACAGAGCCACTCACCTGGACCGGGGCGGGGCCGCTCACCTGGTCAGGGGCGGGGCCGCGGGCGGGCGGGGCGGGGCCACACCTGAGCCGCTCCAACCCGCGGCCGACGCGGCCTCGCTCCGGGCGGCTGCTGACGTGAGCCCGCGGCGGCCCGAGCGCCCGGAGCCCCGCCCTCCGCCCGCGGGCACTTCCGGGACCGCTCTAGCCCGCACGGCGGTCTCCGCGTCTCTGTGGTGCTGCCGAGTTGGCAATGCCGGGAGTAACCCGCTGGGTGCAAAGACCGGAGTCAGTCTTTGCAGTAGCTTCAGGCTGCCCTCAAAGCGCGTCTTGGCTATGGGGGAAACAGAATTGGGCAGGCGTTGGCGGGCGTGGAGGAGAAAACACGCCAGGAGGGGCGGACTGACCTAGAGCCTTGGCAGGTGGGCAATTTGCTCGGCTGATGGGAACAAACAAGTGGCCCCTGGTGTCTTCAGAAGAGCAAGGTGTTCCAGAGCTGGGAAGCCGTCACCCCATACAGCCCCAGGGAGGCTGTTGGGATTCACCCTCTCTTCTTCCCTGTTTCGGCCTGCTAACCATGCCCCAGAGAGATTGGGATGAGTACGAGGAGCCATATGAGAGCCTAGGAGTTGGCTGAGTGTATGGAGAATAACCTCACTGGTCCCTGGAGAACCCCTCCCCAACATTGCATCTAAGGGATCATCTCCAGACATGGAGCTCTCTAATGGATGGGAGGGAAAAGGGTGTGTTCCAGAACACTTTTAGAAGCCTAACTCCATCTCTGATGGCAAGATTTGCCCCCCCACTCCCTGCTGCCCTACCTGTGGGAGCACCTCCCTCAGGGGCCCACAGTCTTCTCACAGGAGACAGTAGAACACAGGAAATGGGAGAGAATAGATACTACCCATTCTTGCCCTGAGGTGACTCTGAGTGTCCCCCACCCACCCACACACCGACACACCGTCACACCCACACACCTCAAGGAGTAGGTAGCAGTCTGGGCTCCTACAGGAACCCAGTTCAGTAACGCGGTAAGCGTTGGACCACAACCAGTCATGCGGAGCTGGGAGCACAAAGGGCTGGTTCCTTTTTCTCTCCCTCCAACTCCTCAAGTCACAGGAAGGCCAGGTCACCAACCTGAACCCCCTGGGGCCAGCGGGGAGGCTGGGCCCCACCCCAAGGGTCTCAGGTGTTTCCTCTTCTGCAAATCCCCAGAATCCCTACCCCCCCTCAAACCCCCCCCCCACACACACACGCACTCCCATATCAACCATAGTCACCTTTTCATCAGGGATTTCATAATCATCAGGATAATTATTGTTACTTGTTGAATATTATTAACCCATTTTACAGAGGAGGAAAATCAAGACTCAGAGAAAGAGGTGTCCGAAGTAAGGGGCAGAAGTGAGAGGCAGACAGTAGACACCCAACCCAAACCCCACCCTAAAATTTGTATTCCACGGAGCAATAATAATCTGCGTCATCCTCAGGCTGGACGGGGTTGATGGTCAGGATGCACGTGTTGTGGACTTCATCTTTGGCTGCCGAGAAGCGGTCAGGGATGTTAGGGGACCGATGGTGGTCCTCTTCTGAGCGGTAGGAGAGGAGGTAACGGGGGGCACTGCCTGGCCGCTGCTGATACCAAGACACTGTATGGTCCCTGATGGGAGTGTGGTGGGGTATCAGCCTGCAGGAAAGTTGGGCCATTTGGCCTGGAAAGACCAGCAGTGCATCCAGCTGCGCCAGGGTTGGCTGGGAAACTGAAAGAGACATACCATCTCAGGCCTGATCTAGGTCCCTTTCCTCCAGCTGCAGCCCTGCAAAGGCTTTGTCAGACTCCAAGGAGACTGACTCCCAAAGTGTTCATCACCCAGTGACATGGATCAGCAATAGGGAGGGCACAGTTCTGGCCATCCCTAGGTCCCCATTAGTGCTAGGTTCCCAAGGATCCATTTTTACTTAAGGGCCTAGAGTTCAGAGGGTGGGATAGAGGGCTTGCGGCCCAGCTCCACCCTTTATTCTGTGGATCCCCTATCCCTTTGGTCAAACTGGCTCTTTCAATTCCTGGTCACAGACAAACCATTCTGGAAGCAGTACTATCCATCAGCTTAACCTCAGGCAACTGGTTGCCGGAGATCTTCGCAGAGTTACGTTGTCCCTGAGGCCCTGTGGGTTCGGGAGTAGTCCACGTCAAATCCCTTTATGAAACATTTCCTCTGAGACCCCAGAGTCAGAGTTCTGAAGGACCATAGCTATCTGGTCTTTCACAAACATGGAAACCTAAGCTCACACAGAGAGGTGACTTGTCCCAGTTCCAGGGCAGAGACACCTGTAGCCAATTTACCCCTCCACTTCAGTCCCCCTTCCAAAACCCTCTTACTATCCACATCAATTTGTTCCCTTGCAGGCGCCTTCTGGAGCTAGTGCTGTCCTCCATCCCACCCCAGGTGATACAAGTCCAGAGAGGGCTCACCTGTTAGGAGTGCCCCAGACAAAAGGAAGGTCAGACACCAGGAGACCATGCCTAGAGGCCAGGAGACAGGCATGTGTAGTTGTTCTGTTGGACCTAGTTCCAAATGTTACAGAGCATGAGGCTGCTGGGCCACAACAGGGCATGCAAATTAAGCCTACCAACTAGGGTGTGGGTGTGGAGGAGGGGGGCAATGGCTGGGGCCCAATAGCCAGGCCCTATCTTCTAAAACATTAGGGTCGGGGCCACACTGGGCCTTCTGAGAATAGAAGCCCAGAAGTCCATACATGCAGTTATAGTAGGGAGCTGCTTTTTTACTGAGGTACAACTCACATACTATAAAATGCACACATCTTAAGTACATTGGTTAATAATTTGACATGTATATATATACATATATACACCTTGCACCCTCCACCCAGATCAAATTAGAGAACATTTCCATCTCCCCAAATGGCTCCCTCCTATACCTCACCACCACCCCTTCATTCTGACTGCCATTACCTTTGATCCATTTTGCCTGCCCTAGAACTTCAAATATAAATGGAATGATAGTGCATCCCTTTTCTTCCTGCTTCCTTTGTTGAACATTATGAGAGTCATCCATGTGTGTACAGCAATGTTTCATTCATTCTCATAGCCGCATCTGATCCATTGTGTGGAAAAACCACACTAGTTTACCCAGTCTCCTGTTAGACATTTGAGGGATTTCCAGGTTTTAAATACTACAAATAAAACTGCTGTGACCATTCTTGTCCATGTCTTTTGGTGCACCTGTGTTCTCATTTCTGCTGGATAGACACCCAGCACTGGAATTGCTGGGTGTTAGGGAACATATACACTTAAGTAGATACTGCCAGTGTTTCCAACACGGTTTTCCCAATCCACACTCCCACCAGAGGATAAGAGCATTCCAGTGACATCACGTGCTAGCCAACACTTGACAGTACGTTCCTTTAGTTTGCCAGACACAGGGAAACTGAATTCAGTGATGATTCAATCTAAGTTTGTGAACATACCACAAAGTTTTTGGGAACCACTCCTCTCCCTGATCTAGCAGGCAAGAAAGCAAAGCTATCCACATAGACTTGAAGTCACAATCTGCTCTTCCCTGTTCTGTGAAGCATCTATGCAAAAATCTGCTGCCTGCAGGTAAACCAGTCTTTAACGCCCCACTAATGACAAAGGAGCTGCATAAAGATTTAAGCCATCCATACACTGCCTTGACATCTCTACAAAGTAATCTTTAAAAATTAGGGAAGTGAATAAACCCCAATATTTGTCCTCTTCTGCGCAAAATACCATCAACAAATCTTTATGTCAAGGTAACTTAGGAAATTGAAAGATCTAAATCTAGAGAAAACCAGAAGTTTCCTCTATCCCTGTACTCCTCCCCCACCCACCCTACACTGTCAGAAATACATACTTTTTTTAAACATCAATGATTCACTGTTCCTTTCTAAATAAACTAAACTCAAATTTGTGATTGTTGAAACAGCTCTCACAGAGGAAAATCTGTCAGATGACTTCCAGGTTTCAAATCCTAATTTGATTACCTAATAAACTCTTTGTCTAACTATTATTGTCTCAATGTAAGTCTCAGTATAAGTCTCAATAACTCTTATTTCGGCCAACAGTTTCAAACTTGAGTCCCAGTTCCTCCTCTTCTTAACTGCACAAGTTCAGCCAAGTTATCCTCCCTCTGTGCCTTGGTTTCCTCATTGGGAAAATGAAGATAAACATAACGCCAGCCCAAATGTAACTGAGGTTATATTGTTCTTAGACACTAGCACACAAAAGAAAAAAAGGGCATCTGGGGCCTCCCTGGTGGCACAAGGGGTTAAGATGCAACCTATAAAGCTGTCCACAGCCACTACAGCATGAGTTCCATCTCCGCCAGGAAGCTACCCACATGATGCAGCAGACCTCTCCTGACTCGCCTGCTACTCCCCTCAGCAGTGTATTTCAGTCAGTCTGCCTGTTCTGTTTCCCACTCTGTCTCTGGAGAATCTTCTCACCCCCTGCATCTCTGGTCTGTACCCCAGTTTTTATATGCATAAATAAATAAATCTTTAATAAAAAGAAAAGGGGCATCCCTGGTGGTGCAGTGGGTTAAGACACAACCTATGAAGCTGTCGGCAGCCTCTTCAGCATGAGTTCAATCCCCCTGCCTGCCAGGGAGCAACTCACATGGAGCAGCAGACATCTCCTGACTTGCCCACTGCTCCCCTTAGCAGTGTGTTTCAGTCAATCTGCCTGTTCTGCTCCCCAGTCTGTCTCTGGTGAATCCTCTCACCCCCCACCTCTGGCCTGTACCCCAGCTCTTGTATGCATATATAAATAAATCTTTCTTTTAAAAAAGGCATCTAATTTTTTCTCTGAGACTTACTTTTGCAGATAGAGCAGAATTTTGGAGGCTTATCAACAAATGAAGCAACCTGAGCAGGCATAGAAGCAACTAATGTTGAGCTGAGTCCCAGGCCAACTGGGACAGGAAACACAGAGATCACACATTGCAGGGAGGGGGACTACCCAGAGGCAAGACGCCCACTAATAGCAATTCAAATTTTCAGTTATCTGAAAAAAAAACTTGGTATTTCATGTATGAAATGCCTTCTAAGTAGCCAATGAACTTCAGATAATTCCACATTTTTTTTGTCCTTAACCCACTCCTAGCCAATAAAATTTATCTTCTTTTTACTCCACCCTGTTTTCCAAAACCTACATAACCTTATTCCTCTTTTTTTTTTAAAGATTTATTTTTATTTATTTATGCATACAAGAACTGGAGTGTACAAGGATTACAAAGATGCAAAAATGACTTTATGTAGTGCATGCACAAATCATGCCTTCTATATTCTGTATTCTGATGTTTTGAATCCAGCAAGGTCCTGCTGACCTTGGAGGGCTGACCCTCCCAACGTTAGACAGTTCCTAGAGACAGCACTGTGAGTGTACTTTTCAAATGCAAACCAACTGCTAACCACCTACTTTATGGGGCTCTCATATTGGGTCACCCCTAAGCTCTAGAGTCCACCAAAATTATTTAAACTAGTCAATCCTGGCGCTGCTCACCTCATCTTGCCTATTCCTCCCTGTAGAAACCACAATAAAGTTCCTGCTCAGTTTCCCAACTTCTCTTGGCCTCCTGATCAACCCACATGGCCCTGTAGCACATCATATCCCCTCCTCTTGAAATGAAACCTGTGAGTAATCAACTATCTTCTCAATCATCTCCTGATCTGTAGCCCTTATCTTACCTAAAGGAAACTAAAACAGTGTGTTCTTGTTAACTTGCAGTCCCTCCATGGGTCTCATTCCATTCTTAACACCTCCTTGGGGCATCTCCATGACACTCATAAAAGACCCTATCTTGGTGGTTCTGAAGATGAGTCCTTAAAATAAGTGATAGTTGTTGGAGTGGAGGTTCCAGGACTCCAAGTGGCCATTCCTTCCAGAATCTGGTAGCAGCAACTTCTGAACTTTGTTCTGCAAGACATAGGTCCCCAAACACAGTGGTGTCCCAGAAAGAAAGCACCTTGTATTTAAATAAGTTTGGGAAACTCAGTTTGTTTCCAAGTACTGACTCCAGAGCTTGCTGCATACTGAGCATCCGTGTAGCACCTTAAATGCCATCTTGTTTAATCCTTATAAGCGGTGCTTTACCCTTAACTTACAGATGGCAGCACTGAGAAAGGTGTTCATCCAGAGGTAGAGTGTCACACTGGTGAACTTCAAGGTGGGGGGTGGGGGGGCCCAATCTTCCTCCCTCCTCGCTGGAAAGTCTTGGCAAAATGGAGCTAGCAAGGAAGGAGGGTGTCTCCAGACACCCACCTGGCCAGAGGGATCTGATGGGGGCTCAAGGGCAGAGAGCAGGAGACAAAAACTGACAGAGGGGAGGTGAGAAGCAGGAAAGAAAGAGGTAGACCGATGAAGAGGGAGGGTGAATAAAGTCAAAGAAAGGGTAGACACAGATTGAAAGGCAGAGAAAGTTAATGTGAGAACATGCTGACAGAAAAAGAACAAGGGAGATGGGCGTAGGAGGGAAGGAGGGGCAGGCAAAAATAAGACAAGGAAAGATGGTGAGAGATAGGAGGGTAGGAGAGGGAACACTGGTGAGAGGGCCCACCAGGAGGTCACAATCAAAAAGAGGGACGACACAAAACAGTGCGGTCACACTGGAAACTATTTCTTTCTTTCTTTTTTTTTTTTAAAGATTTATTTATTTATTTATACCAGCACTGGGTACAGTCAGAAGCGCGGGAGGATGAGAGAATTCACTAGAGCCAGAGCAGGGAACAGAGCAGGCAGACTGACAAAACACACTGCTGAGGGGAGCAGCAGGCGTGGCAGGAGAGGTCTTACGCGCCATGTGGGACCCTCGCTGGTGGCCGGGGATCGAACCGGCACTGCAGAGGCTGCAGGAGCAGCCCAGCGCTCAACCGCTGCGCCACCAGGGGAAGCCCTGGAAACCATTTCTTATGAAGTTCAACATACACTCACCATATGACCCAGCAATCCCTCTCGTGGTATTAGCCCTTTAGAAATATTCATTCACACACAAAAAAACTATAGAATATCTATATTGGCTTTATTTATAATACCTGAAACTGGCAACAACCCCAAACATCAGCAGGTGAACAGACTGACAAACTGTGGTACAACCAGACAAGGAGACATTTCTCAGTGGTAAAAGGCCACACAGGAAAAGAGGGGGAACATCAAGTACATCACAAGGACTGAAAGAAGCCAGACTCTGCAGCAGACCTCTCCTGTCTTGCCCGCTGCTCCCCTCAGTGGTGTATTTCAGTCAATCTGCTTGTTCTGTTCCCCACTCTGTCTCTGGTGAATCCTCCCACTCCGCCACCCCCCACCCCTGCACCTCTGGCCTACACCCCATAAATAAATCTTTAAAAAAGAAAAAAGAAGCCAGAATCAAAAAGCTCTATATTGTATGATTCCCTTCATACAACATTCTGGAAAGACGGGGGCCAAAACCAGCACCAGGTTGCCATGGGCTGCTGCCGACTACAAAGGGGCATGAAGGAACTTTGTAGGAAGATGATGAACATGCTTTGAATCCTCCTCACTGTTATGATGGTTCTATATGATGTCACATGAAAAAGGGTAAATTTTACTGGATGTAAATTATATCTCAACACATCTGACTAACGGATGGGGGCGAGGACAGAAGAAAAGAGAGGAAGCTGGGAGTTAGGGGGGAGGCAGAGGGAAAGAGAGCGAAGGGAAGAGGGCTTTGAGTTGGTTCCCTACAAGGTTGGAGAATCCCACCCTTAAGCCATGGCCCATTACCAGCTTACAGTGGGGGTTTCCCAAGGGTCAGCACCCCACTCCCACTTTCATCCTGGGAGCTCTGGGTCTACTGATAAGGCATGTGGTCTCTGGACACCCCAGCCCCCAATGCTGGCATCCCCACTATGGGCCTGACCCTATTATAGCCCTGCTTCAGGTATTGCCCATACTCCACCCCACCCCCAGTCTGTTATGGGGATATTGGGGTGGGGGGACAGGAGAAGTACATTTCCTTCCTAGCTGTCTTGGTAGCTCCTACTGTCAAGACCAAGTTGGAAGTTGGGCGGAACCCCTCTCCAGGCTGGTGGAGCCCAACCTATGTCTAGGCCCACTCACCCATCATCCAACCACACATATATCCATTCCCCTGGAGGGCCCCACCCCAGAAGAGATCTCAGTCCCAGGCCCCATTTTAGTGGTGAAGTTGAGGGTTTGGAGGTCAAAGCCCTCATATCTATCTCCTCCTTCCCCTAAAGCCATCTTTATTAGGGTGATATTTACAGTAAGTGTAGTCCCCTGTCCTGGCAGACTGAGGAGGATGGTATACTCAGAAGTATGCTCCCCTCTGCCCTTGAGTCTCTGTTGGAGTCCCCACTGGAGTGGGGAAACATACAACCTGCCAGCAAACAGTGTTGGGAAGGAGGGGTGCACATGGGGAAGGGAGTGGACGATTTGGGGAAGTGTCTCTGTGGGGAACCACAGCAAGGGCCTAGAGTTAAGTCTCTAAGGGGAAAACCTCAGGTAGATCCTGGGAAACTTACTTTGGGCTCCACTTGCCACCATGGGGCATGTTTTTAAACAATTTCTTAGCTATTCAGTCGGTGGCCTCAAGTTCCAGGGAGTATTTGGGCATCTGAAACTTGAGTTACAGTTGCAGATTGCAGATCCTCTTCGGGTGACAAAGGCACGTGCCAAAGGCAGGTTGGATGCACAAGGCATGTGTCATGCCTAGCAGTCACCCACATCACTGGAGATGGATGGAGGTGGGTACTGGTTCTAATCCTTTACCCCACTCCCTGCTCTGGTTAGGGATGAGACAAGTCAAGGGTCTCCCTCTTCCCACAGTTGGCTATTGGGAGCTAGTGAATCTTTGGTGCTGCCTGGTGATCCTCACAGTCCATTTGAGGAAGTGGGAGCAGGTGCCCCCAAGAGAGGGGGCAGGGAGGGGTGCTGGGAAGGAGATAAGAGCCACCCGGCAGGGGTGCCAGCCCTGTCCTGCCTTCTTTTGCGTGCTCCCAGCAACTACTGTCCCCCTGGCTGAGGACAGGCACCTTAATGAGCTAGGCAAGAAACTGAAGGGACTAGGCTTCCCTAGTCCCTGCCATGGGCAGCTCCTTGCTGCAGGCATGTGGGACCTATGCCCTCATGCAGATCATCAGTAAGTGGGGTCCAAGTCTCCCACTGTAAGAGGGGGCAAAAGCAATCCAGAGATCAGTCAAGACCTGACCCAGGTCCCCAGGTTCCCACCTAGCTCTGACCCTTCCCATCCAATGTCCTGGGCCAGCAAACAGGTCCAGGGTGAGGGATGAGAGGTAAGCATGAGGACTACCAGGCCAGGCAGAAGTCAGTTATCTTCCCTCTACAGGGGTAGGGGAAGATGGGGCCCCCACCTACTTTGAGTCCCTGCTGGAGGAGCTGAAGGACTGCTATCCAGAATTGGCAGGTGAGAGTCAAGATAGGGCCCCAAGTGAGGAGAGCATACCTCCTCCCCAGCCCTACAGACAAGACTTCCTGGGCCTTCCAGAGAAGCTGCACTGGCTGTCAGGCCTACCCTCCAAGGGTGATGGTCAGAGGAGATGCGCAGACACTTGGTATGGCCACCAGGAGCAAGGTAACCCCTGAAGCTTGGGTTCCCTTCTATCTAAGTCTCTATAGATGGGGCTAAGAGCCAGGTATGCAGGGCACAAGACAGGTGGGGGGACACTGGCACCCAGAAGTGAAACACCTACTCAGGGGACAGACACGAATGCTGAGAGAAATGGACTCCCAGTACCACATCCTCCCAACCCACCCACACACACCTAAAAGGTGGAACACTATGTAGCAGGAGACGGATTATCTATACCACCGTTGGAGTATATCAGTCCAAGAGCAGGAATAGACATTCCTGCTGGGAAATATTGAATAGGGCCTGTTATATAGAAGGCACTCAATGTCAAGTGCTAAATGAACTCAGTAGGGCCTCACTGGTGGTGCAGCGGGTTGAGCGCAGTGCTGTGAAGCTGTCCGCAGCCTCTACAGCACCAGTTCAGTTCCCGGCTGGCCAGGGAGATTCCCACATGGCGCAGCAGACCTCTCCTGTCTTGCTGGCTGCTCCCCTCAGCAGTGTTTTTGGTCTGTCTGCCTGTTCTGCTCCCCGCTCTGTCTCTGTGAATCCTTTCACCCTCCTGAGCTTCTGGCCTGTACCCCAACTCTTGCATAAATAAAATCAAATCTTTCTTTTGAAAAAAGAAACCATTATTTAAAAAATAAGAATAAATGAACTCAGTGAACCCAGCAATGTATTATACCAAGTGATGGCATGGTCTGCACTGGGTTTGAAGGGCCTCTCATCCATTCCAGAAGACCCTGTGACCTGGAACACCCAAGCCAAGAAGCTGAGCTGGACTCAGATCCAAGGGGGTTGATTGTGAACTCTGCCTGGAGTGATCAGGTCCAAACAGACGCTGGGTCTGTTTGGGTCTCTTGCAGAATCGGAATTACTGAGAAGTTGCATCAGCAAGAAGGGCAAGGTCACAGACATGTCCTTGGGCAAGGCCCACAAATGGGAGGCCACTAGGGCTCCTAAGATATGTGTATAGAAAAAGGGATCCAGAGCAGAGATAAGAAAGGTAGAGATGGCAGTCATCACTAAAAAAGAGGAGATAACAGGATCTCTTAGGATTCCAGGCCCCAGAGTCAGATGGGACCACTAATGCCTCACCATCCCCCTTGGAGTACCCTAGGCAATTGGATTACAACAGGGGTCCGCCAAGCCACTCAGAAAGTTAGGTTAAAGTGAAGCATCTGGGCCTCCCCGGTGGCGCAGCGGTTGAGCGCTGGGCTGCAAAGCGGCCGCAGCCTCTGCAGCGCCAGTTGGATCCCAGCCGCTGGCGAGGGTCCCACATGGCGTGCAGACCTCTCCCGCCGCCCGCTGCTCCCCTCAGCAGTGTTCTTTGGTCCTTCTGCCTGTTCTGTTCCCTGCTCTGGCTCTGGTGAATTCTCTCACCCTCCCGCGCTTCTGACTATACCCAGTGCTTGTATAAATAAATCTAAATCTTTAAAAAAATAAATAAAGTGAAGCATCCCCCATCTACCCACCCCACCCCATCTCACCAGCCAGCTGCAAACAAGCCAGTGAGCAGGCACATATCAAGCTCCAGTCTAAAATAAATTCTTTTAATTGCACGCTTTTGTCTCGGGTCATCTATGGTGTGAGAAAACTCTTCCACTCCCAATCCCATCTGCATGGGTACAATCTGATGTTGTGGTCCAGCTGTCGGTGAGGGGGGTGCAGGTAGGTGCAGGGCTGGCCCATGAGTCTGCACTTCCTCTTCAGGGCAGGGAGCTCAGACCTATAGAAGGAAGGATGGCACAGGCAGGTGGTCAGCCTGCATGTGCAGGAAAAGGGACTGCCCCTCCCACTTCCCACCTAGGTAGAGGTCATTCTCTCACCGTGGTTGTACTTGCACTGCTTCAGGGCCTCACTGAAGCCCTCACACAGGGACAGGTCTCTCTGAGTGGTTGAACAGTCCAGGAATTGCCTGATCTCATAAGCGCAGGGCCCCAGGGGCTGGGGGCCAGCACGGGCTGGGACCTAGGGTATGGCGCAAGAGACAGCAAAGTCAGCTCCAAGTTGCCACCTGCAGGTAGGTTCCAAAGCTGGAAGCTGCTGCCCCTGGCAAGGGTCCGTGGCTGGCTGAGTAATCAGGGAGCGCATGCTCAGTTATTCTATTCCTGAAACAGGGTAAGCCCACAGCCTTCTTAAAGCTTATACAAATGCAGGGTTTAGACAGCATTTCCCTGCTGTCTCAAACTTGGGTACTTGGGCAGGTGGGGAGTGGCAAGTCGGAGAAAGTTCTAGAAAAGCCTACTGTTCTGCTTGTACGCTTGGAGTCTGAGCTCCACCCCCACAAGTTCTAGCACTTTCCTGGCTCAGTCATACTGATCCTTTTGACCCCTGACCCTACTGCTATGCCCAAATTTGGCTCAGGACTGGTGAGAGGGTTGAGGCAACCAGTGTGGGACAGCTAGCAAGAAATAGGCCCTGGAGTCATTGGCTACCCTTGAAGGTCCTGGGAGCTGAATGATCAGGGTCTCAGCATCCCTTTCCTGCCCTTGGGTGAATCTCTGAGCCCCAGTTTCCCCATTCTGAATGGGCTGGTTGTCTTCTGTTCCTGGAGTCAAGGAACCTTAGCCTCAAGGGAAGGAGTGGGAGAGTCTGCTTGTTAGTGACAGGAGGGTGACCGCAGAATGAAGACAAGTAAGACCCTCCTGGGGGAAAAATTCTAGGTCTGAGGCAGCTCTGAACAGCGCGACACTCCTGGCTGGACACTCCAACAGCCTCCTGCTATGTGACCTTAATAGAAGACGATCTTGGTTTCTCCCGATTCATTTACTCACCTGCTGAGGGGCTGATTGAGCTGGTTCTGAGCTCCCCCCGCTGAAGGCTCCAGTCAGGGCGCTGCCCACGACGTGTCCCACAGCCGAGCCCACGGCTACCCCCGCGGCCGTGGACGCCATCTGCGCCATGAGACCCGGCTGGCTCCCCGGGACAGGGGCTGGAGCCGCAGCCGAGGGCGGTGGGTGAGCTGGCGGGTGGGCGGAGGGTGCAGCGGTGCGGCTGCCGAGTGGGAGGCAGCAGGGTTAATTCTGGACGGATCGCCGGCCAGGGGACCGAGAGACCTGCAGTTTCTGGAAATGCACCCTCCCCCGCACCCGGCGGGGAGCGCGACCACCGTCAAAGGGTTGCTGCACCCCGCCCCTCCCCCCGCCAAGATGGCGCAGTAGCTGTCAAGGTCAAATCATCGCGCCCTTGGGAGAACCCGAGCTTTCCGAGCCCCCTCTCCACGGGGCCCTTGTCCCCCTCACACCTGGCGGGCCGGGCGGCCGCGCTGCGGCTTCCGCGGGGCATGGTAGCGGCGGCGGAACCCGACTACGGCGAGTCTGAGAAGGCGACTGCGGCTGTGGCTCTGTCTGCGGGACGCGGGCACCAGCCCTAATCACAGCCCCCTACCAGGGGCGGGGCCTGGGGCGGGGCCTCTGGGGCGGGGCCTCTGGGACACGCCCCCAGAGGGAGGTGCCGGGCGCCGGACGGCCTGGCCCTCCCGCCCGTGCGCCCTTGCGGTTTCCCCGGGTCGAGGCGCCCGTCTCAGCTGGAGTGAAGCCCCGCGCCCTCCCTGCGTCTGGCCCAATCTGCGTGGCCCCGGGCCAGCGCCACAAGGCCCCGAGAGCTTACTCTGGGGCAATGGACCTCACCCTTCAAGACCTCGGCGGAGCGCGGGGAATGGAGTTGGATGCTCTTCGAGCTCGAGAGGAGGGGAGACAGGCAGGGGGCTCACGGCTCAGGCCGGCCGGGACGGGGCGAGCGGAGCCTGGCCAATTTCTGCTCCTCCCCGCCTTATCTGGGTTTGCTGGCGACCGCGCGGTCTCGGCGTCGCGGGGGACACTAGAGCTCCGAGGTGCCCTAGGGAAGACCGAGTGCGACCAGTTCCCAGAACTCCGGCCAGGGGGCGCCCGAAACTTCTTTTCGACTCCATCCCTGCCAACAGGCGCTGCCCAGCGCCAGCAACCTGACAACCTTGGGGCAGCCGCCCCGGCCCTCTACACCGTGTGGTGTACCCACCCCCCCTCGCCCCACCACAATCCCACGGGTTCAGCGGCGGACACTGACAACTTTTACGAGACACTGAAGCACTCACTGTCTACTCCCAAAGGCGTTGACCTGAGTGAGTAGAAGCAGTGTATCACTCGGATCCTACCAGGCCCAAGTTTGAATCCAGTGGCCTCCTAATTTTACTGTGGTTCCAGGCCAAGGGGAAGGCAGACTCTTAGATTTAGGATGCTTCCCAGACCTCCAGGATTTTGACGTTTTCATGTCTTTTCTGAGTGACTTGGCATATTATTACTCCATATTATCCTCCCCTATCACGATGTGCTAGTGGGAGGCCTCCTGGCATCTGGATTGTGGAGCGGGTGAAATCACCCAAAGCAAAAATATTGAAGGAGGGGGAGAGGAATTGGTCCCAAGTGGGGAGAGGAGGCTCCTCTGTGGTGAGGGAAGAAGGAACATGAAGGCAGCCAGCTGGACCTCGCACCTGCACCATTAATTATGTGTGTGCAGAGCTCTTCCAGGCCAGGTATACTTGCAAATCCTGCACACTACTGTGTTCTCCACAGCGTCCTCTCAGCCAGCCATTGAGACAGGGCCATCTCCTGACCCCTGTCTGGGCCTGAATCTGGACCTCAGTATTCTCTTTGCTGAAGTAGAAATGTACATGTAAGGTCTGGTATGGCCTCCACTCCTTTACTCACTTAGTCTCTGCCTACCTAGTTTCCATTTCTCATATGCCACTGATCCATCCTAGGCTTATCAGGGTCCTCCTACAGGAAGCCCTCTGTGATCGGTCCACTTTGCTTGTTGCATGGTTGTCTTATAACCCTACACATGAACTGTGGGTGCTTGTTACTTAAATTCCTATGACTAGTCGATTTCAGTTTCCCAAATTACAGCCAAGCACCTCTGGAGGTATTTCAAGACCATTTAAAGTAGTTACACATGAAAAATGTTTAAATTTTGGGCATCCCTAGTGGCGCAAGGGGTTAAGATGCAACCTATGAAGCTATTTGCAGCCACTGCAGCACAAGTTTGATCCCCAGCCAGGGAGCTGCCCACATGGCAGAGCAGACCTCTCCTGATTCGTCCACTGCTCCCCTCAGCATTGTATTTCAGTCAGTCTGCCTGCTCTGTTCCCCGCTCTGTCTCTGGTGAATCCTCTCACCCCCCACACCTCTGGCCTGTACCCCAGTTCTTATTTGCATAAATAAATCTTTTTAAAAAAGAAAAATGTTTAAATTTTATTTATATAATTATGAATTTTCATGTGTATTATGAAAAAGCATATAAGCATCTCACCACATACATGACTTTTTCACTAAATTTCTGCGTGAGGCTGAAGTAAGCATTTCAAATTTCTCAAAAGTCACCAAAGATTGCTTAGTAAAATTCACTGCTGTCTTCCCTCTCCTGGCCTCTAGGAGTCTCTGTGGAGCCTTCTCAGAGAAGTTGAGAATGCTCCTGGGGCTGGGTAGGTTGTGAAGATTTAAGTGAGCCTTGCTGACCCTCTCAGCCTCTGGACCTTCCTCCCTTCTTAGGCCTCTGCTCGCAGCCTCACCATGTAGCAGTTCAGGACCCTGCCCACCAGGACATAAGTCACTACTTGCATTTTGGCTCTGCCAGGTTGCCCTTGATGGAGCAGATTGCCTGGCCCCTGGGCACCATGAGCGCGCCTGGAAGACCCCTTTCAGCATATGGACACCACAGCCAGCTTCCTCTCCCTCACTCTCAGGAGGCTGGACCTGAGGAGCCCCAAGTGTTGGTCACCGACCAAAGGTCAATCTAGGCCTCCAGTGCCCCACTCAAACACAGCCCCCTCCTGACTCCCCACCCAGCCCCCCCCCATCAGCAACGGTTCACTGCAGCTGACCAACCTCAGGGCCTCCTGACTGCTCCAGCTGGTGCGCAAAAGCCTGGCTTGGTCCGTCCCCCCCACCCCTTGGGAGGTTTATTGTCTATGGTTCTGTTCCAAGTTGGGGGGCTGGCCAGCCTCTTCCATATGCCTCACTTTCTACTGAGACATTTTAATATCCCTTTTCTCATGAGGGCCATCTTCCAAATGGCTCAGCTGAGGCTCTGTGAGGTGAGGGAACTTGCCCATGAGTACAGCTACTGGCCATAGACTATCAGGAAGTCAGAGGTCAGCCACCGGGGAGACCTGTCCAGATGCACCTTGCCTTCCAGAGTTAAGTAGGGATAGGGAGGACTGAAACCCTACTCTTCTGGAACTGCCTATAGCCCAAAGGGGAAACTGAGGCCCACAGCAATAACAGCCGGTCAGAGTCACCGACAGCTTGCCTCCGAAGCCACAAGCTCGTCCCGCCCCCAAGAGGTCTGGGTTTCCGGGCCCCCAGACCCTGCCTGGCCAGCCCCTCCCTGTCCACCTTCCCCACCGCGGCCGCCGCCGCTGCGGGAAGAATTTAGAACAAAAGGCGGGGGGGCGGGGCCGGGGCGGGCCGGGGGCGGGGCGGAGGCTATAAGGGGCGATGGCCTGCGCGGCCCAGCAGGCCCAGCAGCCCCGGGGCGGATGGCTCCGGCGGCCCGGCTTCCCTGCGCCGCGCCGCGCGCGCTCCAGCTCCCGCTGCTGCTGCTGCTGCTCTTGATCCCGCCGCCGCCGCTGCTGGCCCGGGCAGCGCGGCCGCAGGTGAGTGCTCGCTGCCGGCCGGCCGCTCCTCGCCAAAGGGGCGCTGGGCACGCGGTTTTGGCCCAGTAGCCGAGCTGGACCCATTGGGGCGACCGGGGAAGCCTGGTGCGGCCCGTTACCCTAAGTACTTTCTGGGCCCCCGTGGATGTGCGAGTGAGCTTCCCATCCCTGGAGGTGTGCAAGTGCAGCTTGTGCCAGGATGGCTCGAGCTGGTGAGGGGGGACTTCGCTAGTACAACGCCTCCTCCCAGCCTGGGGACCTGCCCCTCGGCGGCGTCCCAACCGCGGATGCCGAGGTGTGTGCTGGAGGAGGTAGCACAGGAGTGATACAGGGCCCCCTATTCATCACAGGGACAAAGCGCAGCAGGTCCCTGGCGGGTGTCAGCCTCCAGGTGTGTGGCCTGAGCGGTGCACGTCCCAGGTGTGCGGTGGCGGAGGACAGAGGGTTGCTGGGAGGGTAGCAGCTGCGCCGGAGAAATGGGGTTTGAACCTGGAGGAGGGGCCACCACCCTCGAGCTGCAAGTTTGGGAGCCAGGACACAATAGAGTGTGAGAGCAGCCGGGTGTGTGACTGGGAGCCAAGCAGGAGTGGATGGTGGACACCTTCAGAGAGCAGGAGGGTGGAGGCAAAGGGAGGAGAAAGAAGTGGATGGGGCCAGAGGAGAGTCCATGTGAGAGCAGAGTGTGAGGAGAGGAAGGCAGCCCTGGGGTGTAACAGAATGTGTATGTCCAGAAGTTGCACTTTGCCTTTGAGCAGGGGCTTCCAGAAACCAGAAGGGGATAAATAGTCCGGGAGCATCTCAGTCATAGGGGTTGGCCAGGCAGGGTCTGGGGACAGAGCCTGGACAACTCAGGCCAGGTCTCACCCACAGCTGAGGCATCCAGCAGGTGGGAGAGTGGGGGTAGGATCTGGACAGTCAGGAATTATGGGACTGACCCTGTGAGACGGGAGGTCTAACTGGCTGGGCTGCCCTGATCAGCCTCTTCCTTTGGCATAGGAGCAGAAGGACTTAGATGGATGGAGAGCAGCTCAGGTTAGCCCCCATGCCCTGCCTCTTTCCAGCCCCTGCCAGTCCCCTAGACTTTGGGACAGTCAGGAATCATGTGGGTAGTGATCGAACATATAGGTTTAGGAATTGGAGAGATCTGGGTATAAACCTTATGATCATAGGGGAGTCCTTCTGTGCCTCAGAACCCCATCCTCTATCTTATCAGGGGTAGGTGAAAAATAACAGTGCCCACTACTGGACACTGAGGATTAAATGTGGTGATGCATTCAGAGGGCTCACTCGGGCACACTGGAGACGCTCCATTACCTGTGGCTGCCGCTTTGACTCAAGTACAAGGTCAGCTGGGGCTGGGTCTGAGCTGGTCTGTTGCCTGTCACTCTGCAGCTATGCAGGGAGCATTTGGGGTCGCCTCCAATGTGTTTATCCCAGACCGCCGTCCCATGGGGCCAGGAAAGCTCTGTAAATATTTATGCATCCCAGTTCACAACTTTCAGGATTGATGAAAGCCCTGCAGCCCAGTGGGACAGATGCTGGAGCCAGCAGGGGAGGGCTGAGAAGGGGAAGATTAGACCGCAGCCTGGAAGAGAAGACAGACCTGCCTGCCAACTGGCTACGTGACGTGGGTGGGTTGCTTGACATCTCTGAACCTCAGAAGGGCTGATGCTGCTTAGAAGAGATGGATGAAGCTCTCTGTCCTCTTCATGGCTTATGAAGGGT